GATCTACCATAACAACCAAGACAAATACTTTTAGAGATCTGGTATTCCCGTTAAATTAGCAAATATTATCATTGAAATGGAACTTGAAACATAACCAATATTTAAATTTAAAGTCTAATAAAGAGAGGAATGTCTTGAGTCTTGGATTCACATTCATCATCTGCAATGACTCCCAGCTCCCTGTCATTTCATTTTAAACATATAGAAATAATAAGTGTGTTTGGAGAAAGTATGGAGTAGAAAGTAAAGATATTTGAGTTCAAATATAGCGAGTGAAATTTAAAACTCTTTAAAGAAAACAAATACTCTTGTAAAGTATTTATTTTTTAGTAATTTGACAGCTCTGCGTTTAGGTTCCCTCCAAAACTTGTGAACCAACACATTATGCAAATTGGAAAACAGAGATGGAATATAGAGGAATGATTAAAAAAGGGTCCCTATGTCCTCCAGCAGTCAGAGCCTATAGCAGCATAACTATAGAGATACAGTACATATAACAGTAGACCCGCATCGACTGCTTTCGCCTATGGACACTGACGTTATTTGGTGGCGCCATCTTGGGGCAGCCAACAGAATAAATTTTAATCAACTTTAACTCGCTGAATATATATATATTTCTATATGTGTGTGTGTTTGTGCAGTGTATATTTTTAAACAGTTTATTCAGTAATGTCTTCCAAAGCTCTGATGCCTTCACAAAATTATCCTTCGAGCCCTGAAGTCAACAATCCGTCGATTCAAACAAAAATAGTGCTGAGGCGTCCTTCTTCCGTTCTGCTTAAACCGGCAGGTTAAGCCAGACATACACTGTGCAATATCTTCAATCTTCGAACGCAGCTACAGCTCCAGCTGGACGACAAAACCATAAGGTTTAAAAATTCACAGCTTACGATGCATGTTCTTACATTGTACGGCCCAACGCTTTGAAGCATGTTTGATTTTCTCCTAACCTTAAGATTCCTGACGGGGAGGGGGTCGTAAGAGGCTGATCGGCCCTCATTACCCCCTGTATACTACCAGACGATCAGGCTGAAAGTCGGCCTGATCGTCTGGTAGTATACAGGGGGTAATGGCCAGTCATGAATTCTTGCATGACTGGAGAATCAGCCCGAAAAGGGCAAAAAGAAGCATATAGTGTATACCCGACTTTGGGGTTGCAGGCCGACCTCCCCAAGATGGCGCCCATAATTCCTGCGCTGTGACAGTCAATGCGGGGCTACTCTTATATGTATGTCTGTCTACAGCAATCCCAGTGTTATGTTTACTAACCCATAGAAACCCCAGATAACCGGAGCCACTCTAACTAAAGCTGTATCAAAAAGAGACATTTTAGGACCAGCCCTCCAGACAAACAGAGACCAACAGGCCCAATTATTTAAATATTAACACCATTGGCTAAGGTAGTACATTAAATGCATCTTATGAGGGGTTCCTTTGACTACTGGTGCACTGCTGGTTCTCTAGGTGCAAGAACGGGTACTGGTGGGCACAGTGTCATTCCTGGTGGCTGCTGGGCCTGCCTGGGCCTCCTGGACATGTAGGGTCCCCACTAAGGGGCGGTGCCCTCCCGGTGTCCCAGGTCCCCTTGCCTCTTGGGGTTTTCCTCTACTGTTTGTGGCGGCTGGAAGTAGACATTAGCATTGCTTTACGTCAACCATAGACTTTGCATGGAAACCTGTTGCTTCTGCTGCTCTGGAAGCTTTTCCTGATGTTTACTCTGTTTGTCTTTATTTTTGCTGTTTTCTGTCACTCTTGTCTCATCAAGGTGTGGAAGCAGATTTCTGGGAGTTACTGTAGATCTTCTGTTTTGTTTTCTCTTTTCATGCACTCTTTGCAATCTCCCCCTCTTCCTTTCCCTCTCTGTTTCTGTTGTATATGACTTTACTTCCTAAATCATTTTCAGTAAAGTTTTATGTATAAGAACCAAGCAAAACCTTATGGAAACAACCATAATGGCTTCTTGGGAAAATAAATCTTTTGGGCTGTTATCCAACACTGATTCCAGAGCCATTTCGGCAAAACAGGACATTAAGAAAAATGATGCATCTTAAGTTCTTCTCCTTCATCCTTTTATTGGAGTTTAAATGTTTTAAAGCTCATGATTTAAAGAATTTTTTCATTTATTGCTTATGTGAAGACCTGTTATAAACAGTGATGGGACTAACGGCGTTGAAAGTAACGGCGTTACTAACGCTGTTACCTTGTTTTAGTAACGAGTAATCTAACTAATTACTTTGACTGTAACTATAACGCAGTTACCATTGCAGACACCCCGTTACTGCGCGTTACTCAGGTCGTACAATGAACCTTTTTTCATGATAGAACTCATGCGCAGCTGCGTGAAGCTGACACCCCACCCACGTCAAAAAACTCTGCAAATAGACTGAATGGTTAGTGCAACGTTAGTGCAGAAAAAAATATTGTTTGTGCTACTTTTGTTTAAGAGATAGTAAAGATTATTTTTTAGGTCATCCAGAGGTGCGCGCCTTGTCATGAGAGAGGGGAGAATGAGAATGGCTGATGTATAGTGAGATTCCGTCTGTCAGTTGGGTTGGTGGGTGTTTCTGCTGGCGGGTGTTAAGGTACAGCACACACAGAGAGATGGAGAGTGAGGAGGACTCCAGCAGCAAAACAGCGTTTTCCACATGGAAATACCGGTGTTACGTAGAGCTGCGTTTTCCCATTAGATATGGTTCCCTCTGCATCTCCGCACAGCGGAGGCGGCACGAGTCACCGCGCAGGCGACAGGAAACGCACATGCTCGTTAAAGGCGCGCAACAGCCGCCCTGTGCTCGCGCCACAGGAGAACTATGGAGAGTGTGAACGATCAAATGAAAGGGAGAAATCTGGATGGATGGATGGATGGATGGATGGATGGATGGATGGATGGATGGATGGATGGATGGATGGATGGATGGATGGATGGATGGATGGATGGATGGATGGATGGATGGATACTCTGCCTTCTCAACCTACTGTATTTTTTATTTTAAACATTATTTGATGGCCTTTGTGGCAGGGATGGAGATCCATATTTTATGTCACACGCAGAGTATAGATCTAGATAGATAGATGATAGACAGATGTTGCAGTATCTATAACAACCCAAACACACAGGATTTCAGAATTAGACATCCCCAGTTATTAATTTCACCAGACGTCATTTACGTTGAGTTGCAATAAATGCTAAACTCTCTGCAGGTTCTTGTCTTTGTCGTCCGCTCTATTCAGCTGGCTTTGGAAACACACGGCGAGAAGGTGGGGGCTGGGTGGGAAGGTTACGGGGGCGAGAAACGCAAAAGTAACGCAATAGTTACTTTTACTAGTAACTAGTTACTTTTATTGTGGAGTAACTCAGTTAGTAACTCAATTACTTTTTGGGAGAAGTAACTAGTAACTATAACTAATTACTTTTTCAAAGTAACGTGCCCAACACTGGTTATAAAATATATATTTATCTTTTATATAAAACAATTTATGAGGGAAACCAGAAGTCTTGGGTTTAACTATTCCAGGCTGCAGTTTGAGGAAGATGTTTGCTACTGAGGGATGTCAGCTGTAGGTTGATGATGCTGTGATGGGAAACGTCTTCCACCCCACCATAGAAATACAGAACCAGACGTTATCAGATGGTTTTATTTAGTTCCTCAGGCTGACCATCTAATATAATGGCTGTTTCAGGTGTAGATTCAACATTTCGATTTAAACTGTAGGGTTTTTATGGGAAACGTCTGCAGTGGCAGTTCTGCCTAGAGATGCAGAGGGTCCGGAAATTACCGGTTTAAGGAAACAGTGACACCTGCTGGCTAAAGTTTATACTGCAGCCCTGTTTTCTGGGATTGGACAGATTTAATCCCAGATTGGTTTTTGTTTTGGAATGCTGCAGCCGACACAGCAGCATCTAACAGAACTTTACCGAATTAGGTAATAATTAATATTTTGGATTTAGCAGTAAATGTGTTATTCCCCTTTTTAACATGCTTGTCATGCGCTTGTGTTATCCACCATTACTGACTCACTGTGACAGTAACAGGCTAATTTACTGATGTCAGCAGACATGACTGAGCTGCTCTTCCTCTTTAGACTAAACAGATTATATTTTCACTCTTTGAGAACGCAGTGCTCTGTTTTTGTGTGGAATCTTTAGAATGTGATGAAGAGGACGATGAGACGACAGAGCAGGCGTTGATCCATATAGGCGACATATTTCTTTGTAACTTCCATTCATTGGTTTCCAGTCGAATCAATAATAGAATTTAAAATCAATTTTCTCATATAAAAAGGCCTGAATAACCAACCTGTTACCAGACATCTGATTAATTCTGTAAAACATCGTGATATTAATAGTTATGCTGCTATAACCTTAGGCTGCTGGAGGACAAAGGGACTTTTTCCTCTTTTCTTCATTCTTCTTTGGTTTTTCTACCATTAAACATTTAATACCATTTTTTCCTGTTATAAGGGTTACATGTGGCCTGATTCCGTTTAGCTGAAACCTGATGCTCTCCTGCAGGACCTGAGCTCAGCTCTTACCGTGCCTAAGTAGAATTGTCCTCTTTTCTTTTCACACTTTTCTAACGTCAGAGCTTTAATGTTCCTCCTGTACGTCTGCTTCTATCTCCATGAACCCCAGTGGGCCTCAGCAGATGGCCTGCTTCTGCTGGAGGTTTCTTACTGTTCAAAGTTTTTCCCTCTCCACCATCGCTGGTTGCATGCTTAGTGTAAGGGATTGCTGAAGAGTCAAACAGATGTCTACCGTCTCTAGCTGTTCATCAAAGAGCAGAGAATCCTGTCAGTCAATGACTGGATGCAATCCACTGGTTTCAAAATAATTCATATAAAGGTCTTCCATTTGTACTGGGAACCAGTTCAGTTTGTTTATTGACCAGATCACAGCTGGAGACAGGCACCAGGATCTGATAACGCCTCCAGCAGTCCCACCTACACCTACTGGGCTTTGTGGGAACATCTTTTAAAGCAATAAACAAACATTCAACCACTTTCTGTAACATCATTTACATTTTATTGCAGAAACCTTTGTACAATGAAACACAAACACACCATCTTCTCCCAGCCTGGCTCATCCACTGGCAGCCACCTGGAAGGGGTAGTGCTGGGGGAAGTCGTGGATGACCTTCAGCGCTTCGTTGTACAGCTCTAAATCTGTCAGACAGAAACATGGGATCAGTGGTAAGCAGAGCTGAAACACGTAGACGTACAGCAGGCAGACGTACCGAAGGGGACGCCCCTGTCCTCCCTCAGGGTGTTGTATGTGCTGGCCATTATGTCTCCTTTGTTGGACACCATCCCAATAACCTCCACCATTCCACTCAGCTCTTCTTCAAGCTGCAGAAACAAATAGATAAGCAGAGGACTGTTTGTCTATTTCCACACTATCTTAAAGTCCAGCAGGGTTATCTAGGCCAACTAGATTTCACTGGGTGAAGCCACATTGTCCTTCTAACCAAACTAACTGTTGTTTGGTATAAAAGGATAAATGATTAATCATCAATAATGCATAAAACATTTCCTTTAATTTGAAATCTGAGTGACTAACACCTTCCAAACATAACTGAGTAGAGGCTTCGGTTTATTTCTAAACATTATTAGTTTATAATAAAATAAATCAATTTCTAAAAGTAGAATGTGAGGCAGATCTTTTAGTTCTCAGGCTCCTCTCCTGTGGAACCAACTACCAGTTTTAGTCCGTGAGGCAGACACCCTGTCTACTTTTAAGGCTAGGCTTAAAACTTTCCTTTTTGATAACGCTTCTAGTTAGAGTGGCTCAGGTTATCCTGAGCTATCTCTATAGTTCTGCTGCTATAGGCTTAGACTGCTGGAGGACATAGGGACCCCTTTTTCATCATTCTGCTTCATTCTATCTCTATTCTCCCACTCTGCAGAATCTGTTAGTTCAATCTCTAACGTTCTGCTCTCTCTGCTTTTTCTCATAGTAGCTTCATCTGGTCTGTTCCTGTTTGGCTGTGACTCCATCCTGGAGAGAAATATCAGCTGTGCTGCTGCCATCAACACCTTTGTTTATAGATGTTGGAGATCGGCCTGTTTTCCAGTGTAGTCCTGTTTCTCTGACTGTGACTAACTGGATGTGCTCTCTTCATCCTCTGACATGGGAGCTGGCTCGGAGCTCGTCTGCCTGGCTGTGTGTTTCCTGGACGGGGCCGCCTGTGGAGCTGGTTGCCTTTTGTATCTATGCTTCTTTTTCTATGTCTGTTTCTGTCTCCTTGAACCCCAGTTGACCTCCTACTTTGATGTCTCACCGTAAATATCAGGAGGAATTATGAGCTCATCTTTAACAGAAGACCCAGAAGTTTAATAAAGATGCATTTAATATTTTAGAGACAGAATTGGACTTTATGACACTCTGGGCCCCTGAGCAAGACCCTTAACCCTACACTGCTCCCTTGGCGCCGCACAATGGCAGCCCGCTGCTCCCCAAGGGGAGGGGTTAAATGCAGAGAGGGAATTTCCCGTTTCTGGGACAATAAAGGGATTTACGTTTTTGCATTAACCCTAAATATGAGGAACGAGGAATTGAGAGACTCTGGCTGCTGCACTGCAGGCACGTCCATGTTCGTCCTTTGGGAACTAAATGTGAGGAGAAGTCAGTGGCTGCGTTCGAATTTATGGGCTGCGTCCTTAGAAGGGCCTTTGAAGGACGATTACGTCATAGCGCGGCGCCGAGGTCTGGTCGGATTCCAAGAGTCCTCGTTATGCGGCCTTAAAATGCGTCCTTCTTTTTGCCCGATTTGAAGGACGGGTCCGATGTATCCTCGCTATCCTTGGTTTACCCAGGATTCATTGCGAGACCAAGCAAGCCGTGATCAGAGGAAAGAAGGAAATGGCGCCGAACAGTGGTGAAAATTGGAAGTTCAGTTTAATATAATCCAGTCTGTGAATAGTTCCGTCTGAGATTAATGAAAATAGTTGTTTTAATGGTTATAGAGTCAGATATGTGGCGGTAATGTTTGGTTTATCTAAAGGTTTTTATCTGTTACTGTGTAAATGAGTTTGGCTGGAATTTAAGGACAGATTCTAATATATGTGATGTGAGGAGACTAAATTTGATGGGATTTTTATTTTTTTTAATTGCTATTTTGCACAAAGTATTTTTTGTGGTCTAATATAAGAGATTTAGCAGATATATATTTGTATACATACATTGTTTAGATTTATTTATATCTTTCTATCACTTTCATTGAATAGAAAATCCCTTTATTGTCCCATAATGGGGACAAATGAAAAAGAAACAGTTTGGAAAGTTCGGTATTCATTATTTTCCTGCTTTGTGTGTCGACGGTTGCTAAGCAACAGAGCATTCAGCACTGAAGGCTGGACCTGTTTGAATCCACAGCCAAAACCCTTCCAGTCTCCTTATTTTTACAGACTTGGAAGGATCCAGTCCAGGTAGACCGCGTCCTCGGAGGATCCAGTCCAGGTAGACCGCGTCCTTGGAAGGATCCAGTCCAGGTAGACCGCGTACTTGGAAGGATCCAGTCCAGGTAGACCGCGTACTTGGAAGGATCCAGTCCAGGTAGACCGCGTCCTCGGAAGATCCAGTCCAGGTAGACCGCGTCCTCGGAAGGATCCAGTCCAGGTAGACCGCGTCCTCGGAGGATCCAGTCCAGGTAGACCGCGTCCTTGGAAGGATCCAGTCCAGGTAGACCGCGTCCTTGGAAGGATCCAGTCCAGGTAGACCGCGTCCTCGGAGGATCCAGTCCAGGTAGACCGCGTCCTTGGAAGGATCCAGTCCAGGTAGACCGCGTCCTCGGAGGATCCAGTCCAGGTAGACCGCGTCCTCGGAGGATCCAGTCCAGGTAGACCGCGTCCTTGGAAGGATCCAGTCCAGGTAGACCGCGTCCTCGGAGGATCCAGTCCAGGTAGACCGCGTCCTTGGAAGGATCCAGTCGCGTCCTTGGAAGGATCCGGTCCAGGTAGACCGCGTCCTTGGAAGGATCCAGTCGCGTCCTTGGAAGGATCCGGCCCAGGTAGACCGCGTCCTTGGAAGGATCCAGTCCAGGTAGACCGCGTCCTCGGAGGATCCAGTCCAGGTAGACCGCGTCCTTGGAAGGATCCAGTCCAGGTAGACCGCGTCCTCGGAGGATCCAGTCCAGGTAGACCGCGTCCTTGGAAGGATCCAGTCCAGGTAGACCGCGTCCTTGGAAGGATCCAGTCGCGTCCTTGGAAGGATCCGGTCCAGGTAGACCGCGTCCTTGGAAGGATCCAGTCGCTTCCTTGGAAGGATCCAGCCCAGGTAGACCGCGTCCTGGAGGATCCAGTCCAGGTAGACCGCGTCCTTGGAAGGATCCAGTCCAGGTAGACCGCGTCCTTGGAAGGATCCAGTCCAGGTAGACCGCGTCCTCGGAGGATCCAGTCCAGGTAGACCGCGTCCTGGGAAGGATCCAGTCCAGGTAGACCGCGTCCTGGGAAGGATCCAGTCCAGGTAGACCGCGTCCTCGGAGGATCCAGTCCAGGTAGACCGCGTCCTTGGAAGGATCCAGTCCAGGTAGACCGCGTCCTTGGAAGGATCCAGTCCAGGTAGACCGCGTCCTTGGAGGATCCAGTCCAGGTAGACCTCGTCCTTGGAAGGATCCAGTCGCGTCCTTGGAAGGATCCAGTCCAGGTAGACCGCGTCCTTGGAAGGATCCAGTCGCGTCCTTGGAAGGATCCAGTCCAGGTAGACCGCGTCCTTGGAAGGATCCAGCCCAGGTAGACCGCGTCCTTGGAAGGATCCAGCCCAGGTAGACCGCGTCCTTGGAAGGATCCAGCCCAGGTAGACCGCGTCCTCGGAGGATCCAGTCCAGGTAGACCGCGTCCTCGGAGGATCCAGTCCAGGTAGACCGCGTCCTTGGAAGGATCCAGTCGCGTCCTTGGAAGGATCTAGCCCAGGTAGACCGCGTCCTGGAGGATCCAGCCCAGGTAGACCGCGCCCTGGAGGATCCAGTCCAGGTAGACCGCGCCCTGGAGGATCCAGTCCAGGTAGACCGAGTCCTGGAGGATCCAGCCCAGGTAGACCGAGTCCTGGAGGATCCAGCCCAGGTAGACCGAGTCCTGGAGGATCCAGCCCAGGTAGACCGAGTCCTGGAGGATCCAGTCCAGGTAGACCGCGTCCTCGGAGGATCCAGTCCAGGTAGACCGAGTCCTGGAGGATCCAGTCCAGGTAGACCGAGTCCTGGAGGATCCAGTCCAGGTAGACCGCGTCCTTGGAAGGATCCAGTCTAGGTAGACCGCGTCCTTGGAAGGATCCAGTCCAGGTAGACCGCGTCCTTGGAAGGATCCAGTCCAGGTAGACCGCGTCCTCGGAGGATCCAGTCCAGGTAGACCGCGTCCTCGGAGGATCCAGTCCAGGTAGACCGCGTCCTTGGAAGGATCCAGTCTAGGTAGACCGCGTCCTTGGAAGGATCCAGTCCAGGTAGACCGCGTCCTCGGAGGATCCAGTCCAGGTAGACCGCGTCCTCGGAGGATCCAGTCCAGGTAGACCGCGTCCTCGGAGGATCCAGTCCAGGTAGACCGCGTCCTTGGAAGGATCCAGTCCAGGTAGACCGTGTCCTTGGAAGGATCCAGTCGCGTCCTTGGAAGGATCCAGTCCAGGTAGACCGCGTCCTTGGAAGGATCCAGTCGCGTCCTTGGAAGGATCCAGCCCAGGTAGACCGTGTCCTTGGAAGGATCCAGTCGCGTCCTTGGAAGGATCCAGTCCAGGTAGACCGCGTCCTTGGAAGGATCCAGTCGCGTCCTTGGAAGGATCCAGTCCAGGTAGACCACGTCCTTGGAAGGATCCAGTCCAGGTAGACCGCGTCCTTGGAAGGATCCAGTCGCGTCCTTGGAAGGATCCAGCCCAGGTAGACCGCGTCCTTGGAAGGATCCAGTCGCGTCCTTGGAAGGATCCAGCCCAGGTAGACCGCGTCCTTGGAAGGATCCAGTCGCGTCCTTGGAAGGATCCAGTCCAGGTAGACCGCGTCCTTGGAAGGATCCAGTCGCGTCCTTGGAAGGATCCAGTCCAGGTAGACCGCGTCCTTGGAAGGATCCAGTCGCGTCCTTGGAAGGATCCAGCCCAGGTAGACCGCGTCCTTGGAAGGATCCAGTCGCGTCCTTGGAAGGATCCAGTCCAGGTAGACCGCGTCCTTGGAAGGATCCAGTCGCGTCCTTGGAAGGATCCAGTCCAGGTAGACCGCGTCCTTGGAAGGATCCAGCCCAGGTAGACCGCGTCCTTGGAAGGATCCAGTCCAGGTAGACCGCGTCCTTGGAAGGATCCAGTCCAGGTAGACCGCGTCCTCGGAGGATCCAGTCCAGGTAGACCGCGTCCTCGGAGGATCCAGTCCAGGTAGACCGCGTCCTGGGAAGGATCCAGTCCAGGTAGACCGCGTCCTTGGAAGGATCCAGTCCAGGTAGACCGCGTCCTCAGAGGATCCAGTCCAGGTAGACCGCGTCCTTGGAAGGATCCAGTCCAGGTAGACCGCGTCCTTGGAGGATCCAGTCCAGGTAGACCTCGTCCTTGGAAGGATCCAGTCGCATCCTTGGAAGGATCCAGTCCAGGTAGACCGCGTCCTTGGAAGGATCCAGTCGCGTCCTTGGAAGGATCCAGTCCAGGTAGACCGCGTCCTTGGAAGGATCCAGTCGCGTCCTTGGAAGGATCCAGTCCAGGTAGACCGCGTCCTTGGAAGGATCCAGTCCAGGTAGACCGCGTCCTTGGAAGGATCCAGTCCAGGTAGACCGCGTCCTTGGAAGGATCCAGCCCAGGTAGACCGCGTCCTTGGAAGGATCCAGCCCAGGTAGACCGCGTCCTTGGAAGGATCCAGTCGCGTCCTTGGAAGGATCCAGCCCAGGTAGACCGCGTCCTGGAGGATCCAGCCCAGGTAGACCGCGTCCTGGAGGATCCAGCCCAGGTAGACCGCGCCCTGGAGGATCCAGCCCAGGTAGACCGAGTCCTGGAGGATCCAGCCCAGGTAGACCGAGTCCTGGAGGATCCAGCCCAGGTAGACCGAGTCCTGGAGGATCCAGTCCAGGTTGACCGAGTCCTGGAGGATCCAGTCCAGGTAGACCGAGTCCTGGAGGATCCAGTCCAGGTAGACCGCGTCCTCGGAGGATCCAGTCCAGGTAGACCGCGTCCTCGGAGGATCCAGTCCAGGTAGACCGCGTCCTCGGAGGATCCAGTCCAGGTAGACCGCGTCCTCGGAGGATCCAGTCCAGGTAGACCGCGTCCTCGGAGGATCCAGTCCAGGTAGACCGCGTCCTCGGAGGATCCAGTCCAGGTAGACCGCGTCCTCGGAGGATCCAGTCCAGGTAGACCGCGTCCTCGGAGGATCCAGTCCAGGTAGACCGCGTCCTCGGAGGATCCAGTCCAGGTAGACCGCGTCCTCGGAGGATCCAGCCCATGAATTCGAACGCACTCACTCTAAAAGCTGAAGGCCTGAAGTAACCTTCTTCTTCTTGTGATGTTCTATGGCGGTTGGCAAACTAGGTAGAAGTGCAATAGCGCCACCAAATGATAAGGAGTAAAACAAGGAAACAGGACTCACCCACATGGACAATAAATAATTTTTCAACCCGTTTAATTTAACCAAAATTTGTCCTCATAATTTCTAATTTATCTTTAAGTTATCGTCACTCTGCCCGTTTCTGATGGTCCTACTGGTTTTCCCATCATGCTTTCAACCGTCACCCAGTTTAAATCTCTCACTTCAAGATACTTTTCTGCAGCTTTCACTATTATTTAGATTTTTTCAGTTTTCTTGTCGTCTGTGCACTACAATTGATCACTTCTACCATGAAAAGAACAAATCTTTTTTAACAGTCAGTGAATCTCCTGCAGTGCTGCGTCTCTCCTCCAGAGGTGTAGAACTTGTGCTGAACTGTTGGTTTGGGTTTTTCTGACGGGGATTAGATCCTTTTTGCAGCTTCAGCAGAAGTTATTCCGCGCTCTAATTTCACTTTTCTAATTTCTTCCGATCTTTTCCTCCCTTCACAGCCGCGATAAGCAGCAGAGTGTTCTGCACCACAGTTACAGCATTGGATTTTAACTTCTTCCCACATTTTCCGTACTCCTGCTCTCCAGCAGACCTTCCACATCACCGTTTTCCCTTTCATCCAGCTGCCATACGTCTAAATTTTTGGCCAGATAAGCTGTCACACCTTTCTCCATTCCTTGTTGTTTTTAACTTTTTCACTTCTACTTTTGCACCACTTCTGTTTTCTAGAATCTCTATCAGTTATTTTTAGAGTACCTCCTCCAATCACTGCCCTGCTGATCTTTTTGTTCTCCACCCAGCTGCTCTGAACTCTTTTCTCTCCATCTTATTAATCCTCTAGCTTTGACTGCTGAGGCTCTGCAGTTTATAACAGGTCTCCATCATACAGGATCCTGGCACTGAGGACTAGTTTATTTGATTTGTTAACTGAACCGGATTCTGATCAGCAGAAGAGTCTGCCTGATTAACTAGTGTGAATATAACTTTGTACTCATTTAGTTGTTCTGTGGAATCTATATATTGTTCATCACCTGACTGTTCTGAGCTGGACCTGAGGACACCTTTAGTTTAGCCCCGCCCCTTAAGCCAGCTTGTTGTCACGTTAAAGCTCCACAACACTGGAAACTTTCCTCTTTGAACTAAAGCTGCAGCGTGAAGAAAACCATTTTCCACTGCTTTAGCCCCACAGCTAACTATGCTAACCCTGCTAACCCTCCCATCATCCTGCAGGCCTCCCAGCAGTGGGTCTGGGTCCGCCAGAACTCACCGGTTCGTTCAGCTCCACTGTGGCGGTCTTACTCTCTCCGTCCACCACGGTGAACATTTTCCCAGAAGGATGAACCTAGAACAGAGCAGACTCCATCAGCCCAACTCTGACCATTAAACAAACACTTTCGGTTCCTGACCGCCACTTCCTGACCTTTTCCACCCGCCCGACGAAGCAGACGGCTCGGTTGATGAACCGGGACAGCATGGAGCAGTTTATTCTGGGCTTTGGGACGTCCAGGATGCCAGCCATGTTCGCGGGTTGCTGCTCGGTAGGAGTTCAGGTCCTCTTACTGCAAGGCGCGGGAAACCCTGGAGTGTTTGTGTTTAACGCACCGTCAGCCCGCGCGGGCGGGCATTCAGTGTCCGTTCTCTTAAAGGAATAGTACACCCAAAACATGATTAGCCTTCATTTTCTACTCACCCCCATGCTGAACAACACTCTGGAGTACTTTTTTGATATCTCAAATGCATCTGGAGATCTGGGAGGCTTCTTGCTGTCTGCTGACATTCAAATAATGGAGGTCTATGGCGCCCGAGGCAGAAAGGTCCATAAAAGTCCACAAAAAACGTGTCAATCTTCCTCCAAACTGCTCGTCCAATGTATTCCAAGTGTCCTGAGTGGTTAGCGTCCATAATTTACTCGAAACGAAGTCATTTAGAATGTTTTTAGAGCATAAACAGTAGACCAAACCAGATGAAAGTGCGCATTCAGCGTCTGCTCTGCCGATAATGCAAGCGTAGAAGAAGAAATGTGCTGTTTACCTGTGCAAAGAAAGAAACAACGAAAGAAAAATGTCTGAGGACTTCAGTGTTGAGGAAGAGCATGAGTTCTTTGCCGAGCTGAATGCGCACTTTCGTATGGTTTGGTCTGCCGCGGTTTCCGTAGCGTCGTGAACTCGCATGCGCGCGCTTTCAGGAAATCCTATACACTACTGTTTATGCTCTAAAAACATTCTAAATGGCTTGGTTTCGAGTAAATTCTGGACGCTAACCACTCAGGACACTTGGAATACATTGGACGAGCAGTATGGAGGAATATTGACACGTTTTTGTGGACTTTTATGGACCTTTCTGCCTCGGGCGCCATAGACCTCCATTATTTGAATGTCAGCAGACAGCAAGAAGCCTCCCAGATCTCCAGATGCATTTGAGATATCAAAAAAGTACTCCAGAGTTTTGTTCAGCATGGGGGTGAGTAGAAAATGAAGGCTAATCATGTTTTGGGTGTACTATTCCTTTAAAGAGACTCCTGAAGCAGACTGATAGGTTAAAAACAAGCGCCTCCAGCCACATCCGGTGTGTTCTCAACTCCAACCCCCTAGAAACACAAAACTGGTGGAACCTGTTCTAGATTTGATTTTTTAAGAGGAATTAGACAGGGATGCCCAGTTTCTCCATACCTTTTCCTGCTGGTTTCTCAACTTTTAGCAGACCATATTACATCCAGTGATATTCAAGGCATCCCTCTCTTAGATAGAAATCTTATAATGCAGATGATACAACTCTCTTTTTGGAAGATAAAAATCAGGTCTCTAGTGCTTTGGAATCATTAAAAGAGTTTTCAAGAGCTTCTGGATTATATGTAAATGTCAACAAATGGCTATAAAGGAATGCTCCACCAGCTCTATTTGTAATATAACAGTTAAAGATGAAGTGAGGCACTTGGGTATAATAATTACTAAAGATCAACAAAGAAGAGCATCCTTAAATTTTGAACCCATTATCCAGAAAACTCAAAGAAAGCTAAACCAATGGCTCTTAGAGATCTCTCTATTAAAGGGAGAGTATTAATAACCAAGGCAGAGGGGATTTCACGTTTGACTTTTGCAGCTTTATCTCTCCACTTAGAGAAAAAACTTCTAAATGACACTGACAAAATGTTATTTAACTTCATATGGAGAAATAAGACTCACTATTTTAAAAAAAACTGTTCTTATGAATCCATACAATGAAGGTGGTCTTAACTTCCTAGAGTTTACTACTCTGAACAACACTTTTAAAATTAATTGGCTAAAAAATCTATACAAATATCCTAACTGTATTTGGAATGCTTCACCTTTGCATCTGATTTCTAAACTTGGTGGATTAACCTTCTTCTTAATGTGCAATTATGATATTGATAAAGTTCCCATTAAGTTATCAGCTTTTCATCGCCAGTCCTTCCTGTCATGGACTCTGATCTATAAACACAGCTTTTCCCCCCATAGGTATCTTATATGGAATAACAGGGACATTAAATCTGTTTTTATTGAGTATTGGTTCCAATATAACATTACACACATGGCTCAGTTATTTAACAAAGATGGTCGCCTTTTCTCATATGAGGAGTTTTTAACTGAATTTAATCTTCCGATTCCTCCAGGTTAATATACGAAAGTCTTTGATCCATCTCTTCGGCTATTTGCATGCTTTTCTGGTCACGTCCTAAATTAAACCTTTCTCAGTTGTCCTTGTTATCACCAGTGTATTCTTCTGTAGGTAAAATATGTTTTGTTGTTTCAAAAAATAAATCAGTCAGAGCCTTATTTCAAATGAACGTCAAAGCGGTACCTTATGCCATCTCACCATGGGGAAGATTCCTGGATTACATCAACTGGAAAGAATTCTGGCTGCTTCCAAATCGATATTTGATAAATAACAGAACTAAAGAAATCTCATTTAAAATAATCCATAACATTTATCCTACCAAAGTCTTTATCCAGAAATGCTTAAAAAAACCATTGATGTCACCTGCAGCTTCTGCTGTAATAATCCTGAAACACTTGTTCATCTATTCTGGAACTGTCCACTTATTCAGTCCTTCTGGTACGACATTTATTATTTAATTAAGAGAAAAATAGACAAAGATTTTCTTTTATTTTGGAAGACTATACTATTCGACATTAAGGGAAAATGCAAGGTTCAACCAAAGAGATCAGATAAGGTATATATAATTGACTTTATTATTATTATGGCTAAGTTTTTTATACATAAATGTAAATATAGAGGCTCCAAACCGACTTTACTGCTTTTAAGCACGAATTTAAACAATATATTGACACCATACAGTTATCAGAAAATAAGAAAGCAATCAAAACTAGAGAAGCCTTTGTCTTTTTTAATATTATTTAGAGCGCTGTTTCCCCCTAGCGTTAACTTTTGTTTAATAGATGAACGGTATTCATTTATTATTTTTTTGTGTGTCTTTCTTCCTTATTGTTTCTTTGCAGAAACAAATAAAGTTGTATAAAAAAACACCCTAGAAACACAGTTCCGTTTAATGTCGGAAACAGAGGCGTTTATAGCAGAACCTTGGACGATGTTAGCTCACTAAAGAATGCTAATTCACATCTAGCCTGTACTTTGTTACTTTTACTTGAGTAAAGAAGTTTAATCAGTACTTCCACTTTTACAAGAGTATTTTGTAACACAAGTATCTGTAATTTTACTCAAGTATGGAAAGTGAGTACTTTTGCCATCTCTGGTTTTAAACTGAACCATTTACATTTATGAACATAAAACTTTCCAAATAAGATAAGAAAATCCAAAATAAAAGATTCCGTTTTAGTCAAACATTTTGAATCTTTAAAGATAATGATGTCTTTGCACTGCAGTGTTATTTGTCCGTCACAATATCTTTTAAATAAATGTTCAATTTCTGTCCAAAAAAATGTAACATAAATACAGTCCTAAAACAAATGTGAAATTGTTTCTGTGACAGCTTTACAGAAAGTACAAGAGTCATCAAAGTCATTCCTATATCTTTTGATAAATTAATTTGTTGGATATATTTGATGAATTATTTTAAAGTTAACTTCTTTTACCTTGTTAGTGACTAGATATTTATTACTGAGTCCACACCAATAACCAGTTAATATTCGTAAAGTTGCTTTTCCAGTAAGACTGACAGCGAGGAAGCACAGGGCAATGAAAAATATTTCTGATAAACTTGTTAAATTTTTTAAAATCCAAAATGTTAATCGGTCTCCGCCAGTCACGTGACATTTGTTGCTAAGACGCCATTTTAGGTGGAAAAGGCGTAGTGTAAACAACCGCAGCATAGCTAAACGCAGGACTAAAGGATTGAGTTTGTTTCTCTGACTATATGAAAAAATGTAAGCAGAATGCGAAATTACCGTACCGGCAAAAATTTAATAACGAGGCCAGAGACCGTTACTTACGGAAGAGAATTAGGGCCACTTTTTTCTCAGAATTCTGACTTTTTTCTCGGAATTCTGACTTTAATTTCAGAATTCTGACTTTTTTTCTCAGAATTCTGACTTTAATCTCAGAATTCTGACTTTTTTCTCAGAATTCTGACTTTAATCTCAGAATTCTGACTTTTTTTCTCAGAATTCTGACTTTTTTTCTCAGAATTCTGACTTTTTTTTCTCAGAATTCTAACTTTAATCTCAGAATTCTGACTTTTTTTTCTCAGAATTCTGACTTTAATCTCAGAATTCTGACTTTTTTTCTCAGAATTCTGACTTTTTTTTCTCAGAATTCTGACTTTAATCTCAGAATTCTGACTTTAATTTCAGAATTCTGACTTTTTTTCTCAGAATTCTGACTTTAATTTCAGAATTCTGACTTTTCTCAGAATTCTGACTTTTTTTCTCAGAATTCTGACTTTAATCTCAGAATTCTGACTTTAATTTCAGAATTCTGACTTTTTTTTTCTCAGAATTCTGACTTTAATCTCAGAATTCTGACTTTAATTTCAGAATTCTGACTTTTTTTATCAGAATTCTGACTTTAATCTCAGAATTCTGACTTTAATCTCAGAATTCTGACTTTAATTTCAGAATTCTGACTTTAATCTCAGAATTCTGACTTTAATTTCAGAATTCTGACTTTTTTTCTCAGAATTCTGACTTTAATTTCAGAATTCTGACTTTTTTTTCTCAGAATTCTGACTTTAATTTCAGAATTCTGACTTTTTTTCTCAGAATTCTGACTTTAATCTCAGAATTCTGACTTTAATTTCAGAATTCTGACTTTTTTTCTCAGAATTCTGACTTTAATCTCAGAATTCTGACTTTAATCTCAGAATTCTGACTTTTTTTTCCTCAGAATTCTGACTTTAATCTCAGAATTCTTACTTTTTTTTCCATGTTAAACTGAAATAAAATTTAAAAATCAGTTTACTTTTTTTTCCAGTGGCCCTAATCCTTTTCCGTAGTTACTTGTCGAAACTGTCGGATATTAATTTATTTATATATTTATTTATATTATTTAAATGTGTGTTGCAGTGATGTTTGTGTTCACCAGACAAATGTAGCTGAGCACCTTATACTACCTCTTCACTTTAGACGTTACCAGTATGTTAAGCTATTCCCTGTGTTTACCTTTTGCACTGATCACTTGAATGCACTCATAAAAACAGTTCAACTGTTCAGTTCAATATTTTTCTCATTGACAAATGTTCGTTATCCTAAAAAAAAGGACTATTTACATTTTTAGAAGGTTTTAGAAGACTTTTATTATTCTAAAAAGAATGTTTACAAGTTTTCAGTGTTTGACATTTTTTATGATGCTAAAAAAGAATGTTTACAGGTTGATATTTGCAGGTTGTGGGGATATTTCTATGATGTTTAAGTTTTGTTGACAAAATTTTATTGTGCTAAAAAAGAATGTTTACAGTGTGTACAAGCCTTCCCTATGCACAAGTAAAATAATCCAAATGCCCCTACATCTGGGGTGATTTCTGCATCTACACCACAGTTGGACAATGATTTGTCAGGGCACAGCACACAGTGACGACCTTATCCAAGAATGTGACCTCTTCTGCTGCACAGGGTAAAACCATTGTAATAGGAACAGTTCCATTTAAGATTTTGTACTTTTCACATACATTTCCAATCACCCGTTCAACATGGATTCTCAAATGTGCCATTTTCCTAGTTTCCTCCACGTCTCTAGCTGCTAACTGACAGTGGCCTTCGGTGAATGCTGGTTTAACTTCAGCACACAGCATGCCCACACACTCCTGTATGTCAAAACCTCTGTCAGCCAAGACCAGGTCCCCAGGCAACAAATTGTCAAGGAAGCCACTGTTCAGCGTGATGCGTTGGTCGCTTGTACGACCTCCCCAGCCTTTTGACACAAAACAAATGGCTCCTCTGGGTGTCACACCTATTAAATATTTCATGGTGTGACTGCGCTTGCAGCTGGAGAACATTTGGGCACGCGCTTTCAGGTTTGATGGTTTTTCTGTAAATATCTCAAAGCAGTCAATAATCACTGCTACTCTGTTTCCAAAGGCCTCCTTGAACTGATGTGGCATTACTTTACGGAAAGTGTCTCTGTCTGGCCATATAATAGCACGCCTCAAATTTGCATAAAGGCATGACACCATATCATGAAACGTTGTTTGTGCAGTCCTTGGAGAAATATGAAACAGATAAGCAAGGTGCTGCAGAGGCAAATCCAATCTTAAGCGCATGAGTGTCAATAGGAGCATCTGAAAAGGAGTAGGACATTTCTTTTGATATGGCATAAGTGGCAATAAAAAATTAAAGAGTGCCAGGAAGGTTGCAAGGTTTGGCAGACCAGTGTAATACTTTACTTTTTCATCATCAGCTCCAAAGAAACTATCGGATATCATGTTCTCATTAAGTTTGCGTCGCAGTTTTATATTCTCTTCTGTCAGGCGGTTGACCTCTGCACGCCTGAGCACACACAGGTCACATTCAGGCTGAGTCACAGTTTCAGTGGGGTTCTGCACCTCCTTGTTTGTGATCAGCTGAGGGTTTTCTTCTCCAATCTCCAGCTGAGGGTGTTCTTGTTTTTCTTCTCCATCCTCTCTGATCTCCTGCTGAGGGTTTTCTTCTCCATCCTGTCCAACCTCCAGCTGACCATTTCCTTCTTCAGCATCACATGTCTCCTCAGTCTGTAGCCCGTCAGTGTTTCCATCCTGGTGTATGCCTGTCTCTGCTGACCGAAGGGTCCGTTTCCGTGTCTGCTCCCGTGCCCTTCGTCTGGCAGAGCGACCAGGGTCTGTTGGTTTGATAAACGCGTGTCCAAGATGTAAGGATGGGGCCCAGTCTGGGTCACTCTCCATCATCTCATAAGCTGGCTCACCTGAAACCACATGTTAGGTTTGATTTAGAAAGCAAGTTCATACTGGATAAGGCTATGTCTTATATCAAATAAATTAATTTATTTTTGAAATAATAAAAAATTATAAGTGAAAATAATGGTGATTATGAATAACAATAAAACACAAATAATGCATGTTCTAACGTTTTTTAAGTAATATTAAAAGTTTCTGTTACCTTTATGAAAATGCCGAGAACAAACACACATGTGGGGGAATGTTTTGTTGAAGATGAGATCCTTTCTCCTCACTGCTGAGAGCCAGGCCATGCGGCGTCTCCTTGTTATTTCCTCCAACTGAGGTCCATGCGATCGTTTCCAGGTTGGAAAACGGAAAAAACGGATTCCTTCGTCCCCCGATCTGCCATGCCGGGACTGGCAGCCTCTCACACAACACGATCGCGTCATTTCTGCTAAATATTAGTGCCGAAAGAACAGCCGCGTGTGGGTTAACTCGACTTTCCACCTAATATGGTGGTTTTCCCACGATGCACCGCGCCCGAGGTAAACAATTGACGTCACTTGGCGGAAACCGATACCGTTTATGAAAATGTCTTTTTTATCGGTCCAATCCTGTCTTGAAGCATTCTAACAAAACCAACTGGAATTGCATCAAAAACTTTGCTATATTCTTTCACAGATACTGCGAAATTAAAGGGTTTTTTTCATTTAAATCCAAAGCCGAAAAAGTTAGCCACCGGAAGTAGCATAGAATATCATTTCCGGTGCAGATCAGGCAGAGACGACTGATAAAACTAAAAGGATTTTAATGCATTTAGAAAGAAAATACATTATTAACCTTAAACACTGTGTATTTTAGTTAGCTTACTATTTTTGGGGAGGGGAAACGTCATTTAGGTCTTTTTAACAAAATAAAATCGAGGGCGACCCGAATGTTGTTCTAGATGCGCATGCGCAGGATGGGACAGATCTGGTGACAATAACGAAACAGCAAGAAAGAAGGTGAGGAGGCAAAGGAAGGAGGTGAGATCGATCAGTGGAGGAGGATCCATGATGGTCTGACGCCTCAGCTGTAAGAAGCTGGACTGATGGACGGCAGAAGTTTGTTTATGTTGATCAGTCAGCTGAACTAAACAGATGAATGTGTTTGTTGATGAAGGGAATCATGCTGAGTTTCTTCGGACTGCGGAAGGACTCTAAGAAGGCTCCATCGGACAGAGAGGCGGACGGAGGCTTTGTCATCGTTGGTAAGAAGCCAGTCTGGGTTTAGAGCCTCTGATCTCTGTTTATCACTGCCTGCCCGCTGGTAGCACGGGGTTAAAGTGAAGCCACCGGCCGCCATATTGGTACTCCCTAGTCAGACCGGTCTCAATGTAAACAATCTGTGCGCTACAGCTTCAAACAACCATGATGTTCTCATTTTCAGGAGGAATTAAGACTTTTAAAATAAAGATAAATTCATCACTTTGACACAGACTGGCTGTTTTATAGCATCAGCAGATTAACTTTAACTTAGAATAAATAAATAGGCCCATCACATTGCAGAGTCATTATGAAGTCTATAAATCATGTAATATAACATATTATACAAACTATCAGAATAAAATGAATGTGTTAATGGAGCAGAATAATACAGATGAGCCAAAAGTGATAAATCGATAAACATATAAGTGTATTAATTACATTGTTATAGTAATTACATATAATTTTAAGATTTTACATAAAGACTGAATTAGGAGCACATGACTGTTAATGTTTTAGTATTTTCCTATTTGCAGATTATGAATGAATGATGCTGTATACTTAAAGCTGTGTCTGTGAATTAGCCTTTAAAAATGTTTGAGTTGTTTTTTATATATATATATATATATATATATATATATATATATATATATATATATATATATAATGTAATGTAATGACGGTGCAGCACTAATTATATCATTATCATTAATAAAACATGCAATATACTTCAGCTCATTTTCAAATGAGAAATAAACCAAACGCTACAAAAACTACAGCATCATCCACTTAATAAAGAATTCCTACATTAACATTTCCCAGTGAATTACTTTCTATTTCCTCTACTTTCTATTTTCTAACGTTAGACCCAATGTCAGCGTCTAACTCAGTCAATGTCTTCCAGTCAGTCTGAGATAGCCAGACTAATGTTAGTCTGCAGACTAAACTATAGGATCCATCGGCTATAGATGGATTTATTGCTTAGTTCATCCACTGACTGGGAATTTACCAGTGGACTGTCTTCCTGCAAACAGAAAGCTGCTGGTTTCTGCAGCTAAAAGCTGCACAGGGAGGCATTTTACTGAGCATCTCTGTGGGAGTGGGGAGTACCAAGATGGAGGCTGGTGGTTTCACTTTTTTGGGGCAATCAGCAATCCATTGAATAAATAGAGATCAGTGGTTCTGGTCCAGTTAAAGGCAGGATCAGAACCAGCCTGGTTCAGTTTGTTAAGCTGAATTACAGCAGCAGCTAAAATCACATTAAAGCTATAAAATCAGTGAGTTTAAGATAAAAACAGCTGCTTCAAACGCTCACATCATAGGATCCAGATAAATCTGTAGACTTCAGCCTGAAAATCAACCAAATATACAAAATACATTTGCTTTTTAATTACTTTGGTTGAAAACATTCATCAGTAACAACCAGTTGAAGTATACAGGTGCTGGTCATAAAATTAGAATATCATGAAAAAGTAGATTGATTTCAGTAATTCCATTTAAAAAGTGAAACTTGTATATTATATTCATACATTACATACAAACTCATATATTTCAGATGTTTATTTTGTTTAATTTTGATGATTACAAATGACAACAAATGAAAATCTCAAATTCATCATATCAGAAAATTAGAATATTACTGAAGACCAATAAAAACAAAGGATTTATAGAAATGTTGGCCAACTGAAAAGTATGAACATGAAAAGTATGAGCATGTACAGCACTCAGTATTTAGTTGGGCCTCCTTTGGCCTGTATTACTGCAGCAATGCGGCGTGGCATGGAGTCGATCAGTCTGTGGCACTGCTCAGGTGTTATGATAGCCCAGGTTGCTCTAATAGTGGCTTTTAGCTCTTCTGAATTGTTGGGTCTGGTGTATTGCATCTTCTTCTTCACAATACCCCATAGATTTTCTATGGGGTTAAGGTCAGGAGAGTTTGCTGGCCAATTAAGAACAGGGATACCATGGTCCTTCAACCAGGTACTGGTAGCTTTGGCACTGTGTGCAGGTGCCAAGTCCTGTTGGAAAATGAAATCTGCATCTCCAAAAAGTTGGTCAGCTGCAGGAAGCATGAAGTGCTCTAAAACTTCCTGGTATGTGGCTGCGTTGACCCTGGACCTCAGAAAACACAATGGACCAACACCAGCAGATGACATGGCACCCCAAACCATCACTGACTGTGGAAACTTTACACTGGACTTCAAGCAACGTGGATGAAGTGCCTCTCTTCTTTTCCTCCAGACTCTGGGACCTTGATTTCCAAAGGAAATGCAAAATTTACTTTCATCAGAGAACATGACTTTGGACCACTCACCAGCAGTCCAGTCCTGTTTCTCTTTAGCCCAGGCAAGACGCTTCTGACGCTGTCTGTGGTTCAAGAGTGGCTTGACACAAGGAATGCGACAGCAGAAACCCATGTCTTTCTTACGTCTGTGTGTGGTGGTTCTTGAAGCACTCACTCCAGCTGCAGTCCACTCTTTGTGAATCTCCCCCACATTTTTGAATGGGTTTTGTTTCACAATCCTCTCCAGGGTGCGGTTATCTCTCTTGCTTGTACACTTTTTTCGACCACATCTTTTCCTTCCCTTCGCCTCTCTATTAATGTGCTTGGACACTGAGCTCTGTGAACAGCCAGCCTCTTTAGCGATGACCTTTTGTGTCTTGCCCTCCTTGTGCAAGGTGTCGATGGTCGTCTTTTGGACAACTGTCAAGTCAGCAGTCTTCCCCATGATTGTGTAGCCTATATAACTAGACTGAAAGACCATTTAAAGGCTTTTGCAGGTGGTTTGAGTTAATTAGCTGATTAGAGTGTGGCACCAGGGGCCATCAATTTTGAACCTTTTCACAATATTCTAATTTTCTGATATGATGAATTTGAGATTTTCATTTGTTGTCATTTGTAATCATCAAAATTAAACCAAATAAACATCTGAAATATATGAGTTTGTATGTAATGTATGAATATAATATACAAGTTTCACTTTTTAAATGGAATTACTGAAATCAATCTACTTTTTCATGATATTCTAATTTTATGACCAGCACCTGTAAATCCTGCTGTTTAAAACACTTCTGTAGAAGTTAGAGGATCAACTTCAGCTTTTTACTACAGTAAAAGTATAAAAGTACTTAAATTATAAAAGTAAAAATAATGCAGGAAAAACTGTAAAGGCCAGAAGCTTTATTAAAGGAACATTTTTCTACAATTCTGGATGATAACTTCCTTAGACTTTATTTTCTTAGTTTTATAACTAATGGTAACAGAGTTAAATTTAACTTTGCATCTTGAAAAACTATTTATCTTGGTTTGTGGTGAGCAACAGGTTGGGGCAGCACCGAGTCTAACCACAAAGAAATTAATTGTTTGGATGAAACTAATAATTTTGATGGTTTTAATTATTTCTAAATATCAACAGGCCATAAAGAAAATTTGCTTAAATGAAACAAAACTAATGAGTCTATTTTCAAAATGTAAGGAGTAGAAGTACGCTGGTGAAGATCCTCAGTCATCCAGGTCAGAGTCATTCCAAAAAAGTTAAAATCAATCCACTGGACTTTGTTTCCAAGTTTAAAGACGTTTCTCCTCCATCCAGGAAGCTTTTTCAAGTCAAAATGTCAGAAATAGCGTTTAGTTCCAGGTTTTATCCAGCAGCTCAAAAAAGCCTGGTTTTAGTTTAGAAAACATGCAAATAGAATGCAAAAATGCAAAGTGGAAATCCAGGTATAAAACCTGGAAGCAAAGTCCAGTGGATTTATTTTTAACTTTTTTGGAATAAGGAGTAGAAAAATTCTAAAAAAAAAAAAAAAAAATCCATCCAGTAAAGTATTGATAGCCAATATTACTACTTAAGTACTTTTGTACTTCATTACTCGACTCCTCTGGTATCCGCTGCTTTTAGTGGTCAGGATATGATTTAATCCACATGTGACTGGATTTAATCCAGAGGTCACATTTGCTAACTGCACAATCTGATGATGTCATCAAGAAAAGCAAAAATACATGTGACTCATTTAAAGGAAACAGTCTAGTTACGTTTTAATAGTGTTACTAAACATGTTTTTATGGTAACTGAAACTTATTTTGACTCATTAAACCCGGGGAAGAGGCTGTTTATCAGTTTTATCTGAATTTAAAAGCAGGGAATTGAAACATCGTCCAGATTTGTATGTGTTTAATTAATACCTGTAGTCTAATATCTGCATTTGGCTCCTTTAATAGATAAATAGAGTCGATTATCATCAGAATATCTGATTTAAACTACAGGATAATCAGCAGGTGATGGAAATCATTCATACTTGATGCTTTCAGCACTAATTACTCATAGATTCACTCAGATGTTTTAGTTTCAGTCGTTTCTTAAAACCTGAAACAAAAAATGTCTGTTTTATATGCGACTGCAGCAGATTCAGGCAGCAAACTGTTAATAGACTTAGACAACTTTATGTAGAGCTTTCAGAAAGTAAATAAACATTTCTATTCCTTAAAGTGCAGCAGTGATCGAATGTAAACAGTGTGGGAGAAAAATGGAGCAAAAACACATTGATCTGGAAGTTCAGAGCATTAATATATATGATGCAGAGTTTTGGTTTGGTGTCATCAGTGTGATGCAGAGTCTGTGACATCATTCAGCGTTATTTCAACATCCATCAGTGTGATGGCAGTGGGGAAGAAGCTGCTGCAGAACCTGCTGGACCTGCATTGAATGCTGTGAAGCCTCTTCCCAGAGGGCAGCAGGGAGAACAGTCCATGGTGGGGGGGGTGGGGGGTCATTGATGATGTCACGGGCTCGGGACACACAGCGTCTGTGATGTTCACCCCCAGGACACATAAGGGAGGAACAATCGGCCGCCTGCTGATGGTCTGCCTGTTGCTCTGGTGACAGCTGACTGGTCGGATGGGTCAACAGGGATTAATGCTCCTGCTGATGCTGAACTGGGCGGAGCCTAAAAGGGTTGCAGCTGAAGCTGAACTTCCTGTTATTGATCTGAGGAGGCGCCATCAGGTCAGGACATCAGCAGCTGAAGCCAAATCTGCAGAACGATGAAGCCGCAGACATTTTTACCTCTGACCTTTAATAATGAGCGGCGTTCTCAGTGTTAGTGGTGAGAAAGGAGGATTTTAGATCCTGGGTCCGAATGTTGAAAGTTGAGGTAGATTTTAGTGGTTGGAAGTCAGAAGCTAACAGAAACCTGGAGTTTATCACTTGTTGTGTGTCTGATTCTGTTCTCCTTCCCCTGCAGGAGAGACTGTAAACGAACAAAAGCAGAGGAGTCAGACCGTGAACGTCTCCCAGCCGTCTACAAACGTCATCGTCCAGCCATCCAAGGTGAGCCGCTTCTGCAGGACAGCGCGTTAGCTTTAGCTCCCAGTTAGCCTGCTGTGATGCTGCCGTCGCTCTGGTAGTGATGCCGTGTCTCTCTCTACCTGCTGGACCTTAAACACCTTTAAAGGATACCTGGTTAAAACACATCAGACACACAAATACAGTCATATCATTTAATTCAGAGGTCTTCAACAGGGGGTCCGCGACCCCTAGAGGGCCGCTGAGGTACTGCATGAGGGTCGCAAAAGTTTTGGTTGATTATTTTTTTTTTTTTATATTCCCTCCTCCATTTTCTTCCACTAATTGAAATGTCTTTAAATCCACATTAAGATGAAATCAACAGACTGTAGTAAACAGATAAATGGAGGCAGAAGATGTCTTTCAGTCATTAATGCTCACATTCAGCGACACACAGGAGCTCTTTCAAGCTGGGCACCGTTTCATTCACAACACCTGTCCCATCAACCAGGAATCAGGAATACTTTAATAATCCCAGGGAGGGATTACTTTAGTTACATTACTCCATCTGTAATAGAGTGACTATAGGACCAGTTTGATAGAACACTATTTCAAACATAGTATATATAGAATTAGGGGGTCCCCGCTCCATCTAACCATCAGTTTGGGGTCCTTGGCCTGGAAAACATTGAAGACGCCTGATTTAATTTATTGTTTTAAAAGTTATCTAAGTTTAAAATAACTTTTGTATCATTACAACATGCAGCCAATGAATAAGTTATAAAAAGAAAATTAAAGCTTTCCAAAGCTTATAGCTTTTAGGCCATTTTTTTTATTCTCAGGCACGCTATATAAACTTTCTGGATTCCAAGGCCCCGTCCACACGAAGCCAAACCCTGGCCTAAACGCACAAATTTTTCACCAAACCAGCCTCTCATCCATACGAAGCCGGCGTTTCGGGGGTCTGTAAACAATCTTTTTTTTATTAAGCCTTCAGAGTGGGAAGATTTTGAAACGCCGTTTTCGCGTTTCCATCTTTAAGCTCTAACCGCATTTTTTTCTTACACGCATGCGTCATAGCGTCGCCTCTAAACACGCATGCGCGACACAGTATCACAACAACAATGGCGCCGTACTGTGTTGAATGGTTGCTGCTCATGCTACTCACCCTGCTGTCGGGCTTACAACAGAATCTTCTTCTTCTGGAATATCTGCAGGAAGAACAGAGCAATATCGACCTCATAGTTCAGCACCTGAATTTGACTGAACCACCAAAATGGACCCGCAGGGCAACCATGTATAAATATTAGTGCGCACGCCCAACATTTCGTCGCTTATTTTGGCTTTGGCACCACAGCGCCACTTACAGGCCTGGCATACATTTTGCAGCGTTTTCATGCATTCGTGTGGACGCTCACATCTATTTTACATCTCCGTCTTTACGACAAACGTTCTGGAAAATATTAGCGTTTCGTGTTCAGGGAAACAGCCTGAAGAGTTTCCTGAGCAGTGAGTGGATGACGACCTCTGATGACGACCTCTGATGATGACCTTTAATGATAAGGCTGAGAGCTGCTCGTCCAAAGCATCCCCATGATCAGCCTGTTTCTATTGCACCAATTCTCAACACCACATCTCCAAGCTCTTAAAGCTCCTGTCACACCTCCACCATTTAGACCAGCGTATCCTGGTGTACGAAAAACCTGGCAAAGACTCTGGCATATGTTGGATAAGTTATGAGTACGCTTAAACACATTGACGAACATGCGAGTACGTCTAGAAGTTTTGCTCAAAATGCCAGCGTGGGCCGTCAGTTCCAGGTCAGTTATCTGATGGCTGACATCCGTTCAGTGTCAGTTCCTCATCAGTCGTGGCGTCTAGCTGATCCTAAACCTCTGAGTAACTTATCCAGAACTTCTCTCCAACATATCAGCGTATCTGACGTGTTCCAGACGAGCGCTGAACGTGTTTCTAGCTTCCAGCTGCTGTATAATGGTGTATTGGCAGCGTTTTGGTATAAAGGGGGTTCACAGGAGGAAACCGTCAGTTCTCCTCCAGACTTCATCCCCATCATAGGGTGAGCCTGAAGGTGAGTGATGGATCCTCCCTGCGTTCACGCCCACCACCAACACACTTCCTAGCAGACATGATGCTCAATCTGCTGCCATTAAAAACCTGATTTCTTTCTTTTTCTTTATTATTTTTTGGCGGTAAACAGCAGCTAGGTTAATACCGGCGTTTTAGAAGATTCTGGGACATCAGGCATGCGATGTTAAAAGGGAGCTTTTCCTCTCCACTGTCGCTACAAGCATGCTTAGAGATGTTCTTTCTAAAGTAGAAGTGTGAGGGTGTGAATACTTCTTCCACCAGGTTATCACATCTCTTCTCCTCCCCTCATGGGTGGAAGGATCAGAAATGGGTCTGGTTTTTACATGTTAACTGGTTTTTAACTGGTTTTGCTCTTTTCACCATAGAATAACTGGCGTACTGGTCGACCGGAACGTCCATACTGGTTTTCATCTGTAAGCTGGATTGGTTTCTAACAGCAGCGTGTCTTTTGCCCCGCAGCCAGTCCGAGCGGCTCCATCCAGACCCGCCACCAAACACGCGCCAGCGGCGGCGGCGCCACCTGCGGGCCCTCCGGCCGTGGAAGCCTCTTCGGCGCTCCCAGATCTCCTGGGAGACGTCCCCTTCACGCTGGCGCCTCACGTCCTGGCCGTGCAGGCCCGCTCCAGCGCCGTCCCCGACGTCCTGCTGTCCAGAGACATCAACTACAACCTGGCTAGCTTCCAGTACGACTTCACCTTAGAAAACTCCGTGCTCCACAGCACCTAGTGAGTTTGGAACGGTTCACTGTTCAACCAATCAGAGAGTAGAAGGAGACGGAATCTGGATGAGCAGCTTCACATATAGAATAGAAACATTCAGGTTCTGCTGGTGTCTCCATGACGAGAAGCTCTGCTACTGTCTGTTATTTGTCCAGTGTGTCCACGTTTAGCTCCTGCTCCTTGTCCCCAGTTGATCTCCATGTTTATCAGATCATCAGTCCTGCTGCTGCTCCACCCAGGAGTCAGAGAGACGTAGAAGTGATCAGACTCAGTTCCCAGAATGCCAAGAATAACTGCAGAAAGATGTCCCCGACCTGGGAAAGCCCTGAACAGATCAAACGGCTCGGATCAGGCGCCCGTCAGCTGGAGCCCATCAGGTGGAGCTCCTCTGTGGAACGGCCTCACAGGTTATATCAGAGCTACTGGTCAGAATAACAGTGGGATGGTTTTTATTCCCTCTGCAGGTTGTTTCCTGAATCAAACCAGGAAGAAAAGCAGAAAATGCTGCAAAATATTTCAGTCCTCGTCATTTTTTTATTATATAAGTGCATTTGTTCTTAAATTGAGGAGTTGCAGTAGCAGCCATTAAAATGGCCCTTCCCAATAAAACAGTGGCTGAATGGCGGCCCACTTCCCTGCAGCAGAATCCCCTCCAACTTCCAGCCAGCGGCCTTCTGCTGGGCGTGCAGACGGTTACCCTGACTCCCCCTCTCACTCTGTTACACTGAAAGATTAGAAAAATTATGAACGCAGCAGATTCTCCTAAATAACTGGTATGAAGGCTGATTGCATGAGGCCCATTGACTCTTCAGCAATCCCTCACACTAAGCATGCTTGTAGCGACAGTGGAGAGGAAAAACTCCCTTTGAACAGGTAGGAACCTCCAGCAGAACCAGGCTCAGTGTGAGCGGCCATCTGCTGAGGCCCACTGGGGTTCAAGGAGACAGAAGCAGACATAGAAAAAGAACACATGAGCACTGATCTATAAATACTTTCTATGTTGTTAAAGCTAACGGTAAACTAGCTCCACAGGCGGCTCTGTCTGGGAAAGAAAAAGTTAATCAGATCAAATCTGACCTGGTCTTCATGTCAAAGGATGAATTTTCTTCCTAACTCCGTCCTTTCACTGAATCACAGGTTCTGACCAGGATCTTAATGTCTATAAATCATGGCAGAAAGAATATTTTAGATGTTTATAAAGGAAATTTAGAGGACCAGCCAAGGAAAGTGGGGCTTTGCCAATGAAACGATTTAAATTTAAATTAAGAAAAAATCAGCTGCAGTCTTTATATCAAGTCCATAATATGTAATTATCTTACATTAAGGGTAAAAATACTAGTTCCATTGGCACATCATCTCATTTTCCTGCTCAAATAGAGTAAATGCTCTTAGTGTGAGACATTTTTATTCATTTTCTGCTGCAGTGGAGCAACAGTTGTCTGCTGAATATGCAGAGTGATGCTCAGAGCAGCAGGAGGCGGAACCCTGATCCACAACAGCAAACTTTAAACACACGTTATTAGGCTTCTATGTGATACGGTTCTATGATTTCTACCAAAAAAAGATCAATCTGGTTCGTCTAGATCAGGGATCCGGTCCGACCAAGTAAAAGTTGTTCAGAACCGCAAATAGAACATAACTTTTTCCACAAATAACTGCCTTTTTAAATCTGGTAAAGGAAATGAGTCGCCATCGCAATCAATAATTTATGCATTTTTAGCTTTTAAAATAATATTAAAACATCATTTTCAATCTAATTAAAAGAAAAATGGCTCTAAAAATATTTCTGGTTCTTTTAATCTCATTCTGTAAAGCTTTAATAATGATATTTATTATAATAGATTATTTAGATCTTCCGCTGTGGAGGGGCCACATGTGGCCCTGGAGCCGCAGCTTTCAGACCCCTGGTCTAGATGAACCTTTACTGCCTCATGGTGGGAAAATGTTTTATAAATGATCATATGTGGAAAAAATAAGAAGCTGTTAGGAATAAAGATGGAAACAAAAAGAAAAATATCTTTACAGTAAAATATGTAAAAAGAAAAAAAGGCTTTTTTATATTTCATCTTTTTGACTTTTCCTTTATTTCTGTTATTAAGGAACTTTTAAGTTTATTTGTTTTTGTGCTTAATGGGTTAGATTTATCACCCTCATATAAGAGAAGGTAGCAAAAGACATCTCAGTAGTTCAGGATGCATGGTGGGGGCCACGCTGAGGGCCCCCAGTGGGGGCCCCTGCTGGACATCTATAGCTTTGGTCTTCCTGCTGGTCTAAAGTGATTTATCAATAAACTGATTGATTGATATAAAACTCTTCTTCTTTGGTTTGACAGATGTAAACAGCCGCAGAGCTCCTCCCCCTGACTGAATGAAATGAGCCAATTATTACGGTTTCGTTGGTTTTATGTCTGTTTTTTCAGTTTATGTTCTGCTTTTCATCGTAGATGGAAACTCTTTATTGATGATTGTTTGCTTTTCTGTGCAGCCTGGTTTACAGGAAACCTGCTCTACCATCCGTGCCTTTAACATAAACCAGGTTCCAATAAAATGTCGCTTTGCACCAGTTTATGTTGTGAGTTATTAAGATAAAGGTTGCTGCTGCTGACGGTTGAGAAAATGCCGGAAAAAATGAAAATATGACTCATTAAATAAGGCCCAAAAAGCCCAACCTTTAAATCAGTCTTTAAATTCATCAAGATGTTTAATAATTGAATTATTCGATAAACTGTGGTGATTTATCGCTGCACTTTATTAATAAAAAAATAAAATTTGTAATTTTTTTTACTTGAAGGCTGTATTTTTTGTTCTTTCTTTTTTATCTATCTTTTCCATGGTTTTTTTTTTTTTTTTTTGCTCGGACGATTTTTCTTTATTACTTTATTTCCACCTTTTTTTTTTTTCATGGCCGGCAGGACAGAAGCTGAGGAGGCGGGTCTCTGGAACAGCTTCTCTCCTATTGGCTGAAACAAGAAGAAGATAAATATCACCTCTATAGGCCGCACATTTCTAATTTGAATACATTTCTTTGTGTTTTTCTTAATTGTGTCAGAAATGGTCCTCCATAAACTTTGTCTATCGCTGCAGCACCACGTTTAAATCAGGCAGAGATGAAGAGAGCACATCCAGTTAGTCACAGTCAGAGAAACAGGACTACACTGGAAAACAGGCCAAGCTCCAACATCTAGAAACAAAGGTGTTGATGGCAGCAGCACAGCTGATATTTCTCTCCAGGATGGAGTCACAGCCAAACAGGAACAGACCAGATGAAGCTACTATGAGAAAAAGCAGAGAGAGCAGAACGTTAGAGATTGAACTAACAGATTCTGCAGAGTGGGAGAATAGAGATAGAATGAAGCAGAATGATGAAAAAGGGGTCCCTATGTCCTCCAGCAGTCTAAGCCTATAGCAGCAGAACTATAGAGATAGCTCAGGATAACCTGAGCCACTCTAACTAGAAGCTTTATCAAAAAGGAAAGTTTTAAGCCTAGCCTTAAAAGTAGACATTGGATGAGAAGTGCAAGCATTTACCATCATAATACCCTATTGGTTCCTCTGAGCAGGACTTTAGATGCATCACATTTAGGTCACACTTCAGCAGATGCTAAAGATCCTAAAGAAGTCAGGCTGAATCTTCCACAAAGACCAGACAACTTTCCTACATCTTCTACCAAATGCAAATATTCTGCATTAGCGGGATATTTTTATAGTTTTTAATATATTCATTCATTCATTCCTTCCTTCCTTCCTTCCTTCCTTCCTTCCTTCCTTCCTTCCTTCCTTCCTTCCTTCCTTCCTTCCTTCCTTCCTTCCTTCCTTCCTTCCTTCCTTCCTTCCTTCCTTCCTTCCTCCCTTCCTTCCTCCCTCCCTCCCTCCCTCCCATCCATCCATCCATCCATCTTCTTCCTCTTATCCAGGGGTAGCAGCTTCAGTAGGGAGGCCCAGACGTCCCTCTCTCCAGCCACTTGGTCCAGCTCCTCCGGGGGAATCCCAAGGCGCTCCCAGGCCAGCAGAGAAACATAGTCCCTCCAGCGTGTCCTGGGTCCCCCTGGGCCTCCTCCGGGTGGGATGTGCCTGGAACACCGGGAGGGAGACGCCCAGGAGGCAACCAGATGCCCGAGCCACCTCAACTGGCTCCTCTCGATGTGGAGGAGCATCGGCTCTACTCTGAGTCCTTCCCTGATGATTGAGCTCCTCCCCCTGTCTCTAAGGGAGGGACCAGACACACTACAGAGGAAACTCATTTCAGCTACTTCAATCCATTTTTGATAAATTACTTTGAGAAATAACTTTTTTTCCTCCACTACTGTGTATTTACCTGAATAACCGGACATCAATGATGTTACAGTCTGTCTTAGATTAACGGGTTCCTGTCCTGTTTTATTAGCTTTGCTTTAATGTTAGTGCGAGGGATGAATCACTCAGATTAATGGATTATTTAAATAAAATAATCTTCAACCAATTTAGTAATTGATGAATAATTAACTGGAGTATAGAGACTGTAAAACATGCCTTTATCTGACAGAACGACCCACTTAGAGCAGGAAATATACCAAGAATGTAAAAAAATATAAAAAATATTTTCCACCTGTCAAGCTGCTCTATCCAGAACCCCTCAAGTGAAAAAGGTTTGATTTCGTAAACAATCTTCTTTAACCATCCTTTGGTTATCTGATTATTAATCGATTAACCGAAAAAATTAACAACAGATTAATTGATTTGTAAAATAACGGTTAGTTGCAGCCCTAATTAGTGCAGCTAAGCTTTTTAAACCATAGGCTGTTAGTCATCTTGTGCTTCATCAAACACACTATTGCTCACTATAGTGCACCTATTGGTTCTCTATTATATTTCCCCATATTAACATTTTATATCACAAACCAGATTTTACTTTAAGTTGTTTTGAAACTTATAATTTTATCCTTCTACTTGAGAAAAAAGTTAAGCTCTTCAAAGTGTTTTTTTAACTCCAGGTATCAGGGGCGGAGCTAGATGGAGGGCCACTCTTAGCCAATCATTGGCCCCCCTGTGGCCCCCCCTACCTTTTATTCCCTCTAATACAGACGGTGGCAGCATTTTAAGAAACATTTAAATTTTTCATGTATTAACAGTCAGAGGCGTGCACAGACATTTTGGGGGTCAGGTGCTCAGGAGGGGGGGGGGCACTTTTTAGCGCACGTGAAACACTTAATTATAAATAAATAAAAACCACACGCATGTTGAATGAAATTTGACTTTAATTTGTAACATTCTCTAAACGTGAGTTTTCAATGGAAAAAAGACACACCACCAACAGAACAGACTAAAGCGTACTACTTTAAAGTAGTACGCTTGCTCATCTTTCTTCTTCTTTCATTTGGCTCTCCCTGTTTTCCCTCATCCTGCTGTTCTCCCTCATCCTGTTTTCCCTCATCCATCTGCTCTCCCTCATCCTGCTGTTCTCCCTCATCCTGTTTTCCCTCATCCATCTGCTCTCCCTCATCCTGCTGTTCTCCCTCATCCTGTTTTCCCTCATCCATCTGCTCTCCCTCATCCTGCTGTTCTCCCTCATCCTGTTTTCCCTCATCCATCTGCTCTCCCTCATCCTGCTGTTCTCCCTCATCCTGTTTTCCCTCATCCATCTGCTCTCCCTCATCCTGCTGTTCTCCCTCATCCTGTTTTCCCTCATCCATCTGCTCTCCCTCATCCTGCTGTTCTCCCTCATCCTGTTTTCCCTCATCCATCTGCTCTCCCTCATCCTGCTGTTCTCCCTCATCCTGTTTTCCCTCATCCATCTGCTCTCCCTCATCCTGCTGTTCTCCCTCATCCTGTTTTCCCTCATCCATCTGCTCTCCCTCATCCTGCTGTTCTCCCTCATCCTGTTTTCCCTCATCCATCTGCTCTCCCTCATCCTGCTGTTCTCCATCATCCTGTTTTCCCTCATCCATCTGCTCTCCCTCATCCTGCTGTTCTCCCTCATCCTGTTTTCCCTCATCCATCTGCTCTCCCTCATCCTGCTGTTCTCCCTCATCCTGTTTTCCCTCATCCTGCTGTTCTCCCTCATCCTGTTTTCCCTCATCCATCTGCTCTCCCTCATCCTGCTGTTCTCCCTCATCCTGTTTTCCCTCATCCATCTGCTCTCCCTCATCCTGCTGTTCTCCCTCATCCTGTTTTCCCTCATCCATCTGCTCTCCCTCATCCTGCTGTTCTCCCTCATCCTGTTTTCCCTCATCCATCTGCTCTCCCTCATCCTGCTGTTCTCCCTCATCCTGTTTTCCCTCATCCATCTGCTCTCCCTCATCCTGCTGTTCTCCCTCATCCTGTTTTCCCTCATCCATCTGCTCTCCCTCATCCTGCTGTTCTCCCTCATCCTGTTTTCCCTCATCCATCTGCTCTCCCTCATCCTGCTGTTCTCCCTCATCCTGTTTTCCCTCATCCATCTGCTCTCCCTCATCCTGCTGTTCTCCCTCATCCTGTTTTCCCTCATCCTGCTGTTCTCCCTCATCCTGTTTTCCCTCATCCATCTGCTCTCCCTCATCCTGCTGTTCTCCCTCATCCTGTTTTCCCTCATCCATCTGCTCTCCCTCATCCTGCTGTTCTCCCTCATCCTGTTTTCCCTCATCCTGCTGTTCTCCCTCATCCTGTTTTTCCTCATCCATCTGCTCTCCCTCATCCTGCTGTTCTCCCTCATCCTGTTTTCCCTCATCCATCTGCTCTCCCTCATCCTGCTGTTCTCCCTCATCCTGTTTTCCCTCATCCATCTGCTCTCCCTCATCCTGCTGTTCTCCCTCATCCTGTTTTCCCTCATCCATCTGCTCTCCCTCATCCTGCTGTTCTCCCTCATCCTGTTTTCCCTCATCCATCTGCTCTCCCTCATCCTGCTGTTCTCCCTCATCCTGTTTTCCCTCATCCATCTGCTCTCCCTCATCCTGCTGTTCTCCCTCATCCTGTTTTCCCTCATCCATCTGCTCTCCCTCATCCTGCTGTTCTCCCTCATCCTGTTTTCCCTCATCCATCTGCTCTCCCTCATCCTGCTGTTCTCCCTCATCCTGTTTTCCCTCATCCATCTGCTCTCCCTCATCCTGCTGTTCTCCCTCATCCTGTTTTCCCTCATCCATCTGCTCTCCCTCATCCTGCTGTTCTCCATCATCCTGTTTTCCCTCATCCATCTGCTCTCCCTCATCCTGCTGTTCTCCCTCATCCTGTTTTCCCTCATCCATCTGCTCTCCCTCATCCTGCTGTTCTCCCTCATCCTGTTTTCCCTCATCCTGCTGTTCTCCCTCATCCTGTTTTCCCTCATCCATCTGCTCTCCCTCATCCTGCTGTTCTCCCTCATCCTGTTTTCCCTCATCCATCTGCTCTCCCTCATCCTGCTGTTCTCCCTCATCCTGTTTTCCCTCATCCATCTGCTCTCCCTCATCCTGCTGTTCTCCCTCATCCTGTTTTCCCTCATCCATCTGCTCTCCCTCATCCTGCTGTTCTCCCTCATCCTGTTTTCCCTCATCCATCTGCTCTCCCTCATCCTGCTGTTCTCCCTCATCCTGTTTTCCCTCATCCATCTGCTCTCCCTCATCCTGCTGTTCTCCCTCATCCTGTTTTCCCTCATCCATCTGCTCTCCCTCATCCTGCTGTTCTCCCTCATCCTGTTTTCCCTCATCCATCTGCTCTCCCTCATCCTGCTGTTCTCCCTCATCCTGTTTTCCCTCATCCTGCTGTTCTCCCTCATCCTGTTTTCCCTCATCCATCTGCTCTCCCTCATCCTGCTGTTCTCCCTCATCCTGTTTTCCCTCATCCATCTGCTCTCCCTCATCCTGCTGTTCTCCCTCATCCTGTTTTCCCTCATCCTGCTGTTCTCCCTCATCCTGTTTTCCCTCATCCATCTGCTCTCCCTCATCCTGCTGTTCTCCCTCATCCTGTTTTCCCTCATCCTGCTGTTCTCCCTCATCCTGTTTTCCCTCATCCATCTGCTCTCCCTCATCCTGCTGTTCTCCCTCATGCTGTTTTCCCTCATCCTGGTCTTTCTCTGTCTCTGTGTCTTCCCTGAACTCTTCCTCATCTCCTGTCCTGGTAGATGTTGATGGTATAGAGCTTCCCTGCTGTGACTGGCTACAATATAATAATAATAACCATCATGACAATAATAATGATAATAATAATAATAGCTTTAACAAACATGCCACATTAATTTACATAATGGGCTATTAGGGCAACATGACTGGAATTCTTGTCACGTGGATATGACTTATGGTAGCCTACAAAATAATACCTATTTTAATACCTGCTGATTTTGTACAAACCACTTAAAAATAAAATGTGAACAGCTTTTAAGATTTTTCAATACAATTAACCCAAAGGAGCAGATCAATAGCATATAACTAAGGCTCACAACAGTTAGTGATTCTGACCTTCACTCTGACCTGTCATTGTTTGGCTTTGCTCTCATCCAGGAGAGCAAAGAGCTGATTCCCTGTACTGCCTGCTGTAGCTCCTTTATTCGCTCTCTTTTCAGCCTCTCGTTTCTTGGCATTGTACTGCAATTACTAAATCAATATACAATTAAGACAATAAAGAGACCAAAATGTGTTAATTTATGTTGCCTAACAAAACCTATACAACAGAAAACGTTTGTCTTAACACATAGATTTGCAATTGCAAACTCTACCGAAATTATTTGTAGCCTATGTGGTCGTCCTCACGTTATCTGTCATTGACTTGGGCTACAGTGTAAAACTTTATCTAGCTTTATCTAGCCTAACTAGTTTATCAGGTGACCAGTCAGCAAATATGCTTGTTTGGTGCTGCTGAATGAGACATTTTAATGCACAACAAAATGATTTGCTTGATCTGTATATTACCTGGCTAATGGGGCACGGGAGAATCAGCCTATCAGCGACCGTTCCTGCTATCTGAAGACGCTACTGAACTGCTATGATGCTGCGCATCCGGCATGCCCTCCGGGCGACCGCACGAGGTCACGTGACAAAGGAAGAGAGAGAGGCTGGTCGGGTGTGCGCAAAGAGGTGGCTCATTTCGGGGCATTGTTTCAGTCGTTTTTAATGGCTCAGGTTTTCAAAAGATCATTTCAAAACCGACCTCAGTAAAATCTTAATAATATTAATAAAAAAAAGAAAAAAACAAGTTTCAAAAGGGCATTTTCGTTGATAAAGGGCAAACTAGTGCTTAAGCACCACCTAGTGTCTATGTATGCACGCCCCTGTTAACAGTTACTTAACAACAAAAACACTGTAGTTAATCAGTCACATCAATATACTAACATTAAAGATGATAAGTACAGAATTCCTGCTCTTTTCAGAAATAGATTTTGTGTTTTATGGGGTAAAGAGAAAATTATGAGTCTCTGCAAGTCATCTAGGAGTCTTCAGTGAAATCAGAGATTAAAAAAAACTATTTCAATAAAACATATTAGATAATTATTAGTACTTGTAAATATCAGTTTCATGCAAAATAATTATTTATAAAAGTAATGATGATGGAGAAGATGTTCGCTCCAGAACTCAAACCTAAAATAATTTTATCCACTATGCCTTTTATTTAGACAGCAGGGATGTTTAAATATAAGCGTCTATTTGTTCAGCAAAGGCTGTAGGAAACTATAGTTTGTCTTTATGTAGAAATATGGATGTGGTGCTTGTTCCTGTTGGAACAGTGGAGATTGATCCTGAGGTTCTGGTGCCTATCTGCTTTCAGCCCCCCCTCAGTGTACCTGGTTATTGGCTAAGCCTCTGCCAGGTATCACACATGCAGACAGAGATCAGCTTTCCTTTGACATGAGCAGGTGGATGCATCACTGTGACCTGCTGGAAGGAATGGGTCTGAACCATTAAAGCTGGATCATCACAGCAGCATCTTCTGGGAAAATGTAATGAATGTAAACTTCCTGCAGCATCTGAGGTCCATGGATCCCAGGTCAAAGTTCAGCAGCAGGCTGGGTCATGTGATGGATGCTCCTCAGCATCATCAGCCCAGCAGGTGGAGAACAGCCGAACCCTCCGCGGTGTGGTGTCAGCTTCATCACAGCCCAACCTCCTTCTCCTCCTCCTCCTTCCTGATTCCTTGGACCGACTACATCCCGCCAACCCGAGTGGAAGCGGTTCGGTTCGGTTCGGACGGGAGGCTGGACCCGCCGCTGGATGACAGCTGTTCCCTGCAGAGGTAGCCTCGGTCTCTAGTTCTCTAAGGTGTTATTTTGCAAGCAGACATTTAACGCCACATACTTGAGTGTTTTGCTGAGGCGGATCTGTTCGCACCAGTCTAGCTTCACAACTCAGTAAAATGAGGCTGTGACCAGAAAATAGATGCTAAATCTACTTTATTAAAACAAACTTTACATCAGAAAATATTTAATGAACTATAATCTATTATTCGTCGTGGGTATACTGCGGTGTTATCATTAGTTTATGAAGAAATTAAAACTTTTGGTCATTTCTTTCATAATTCTCCTCCAAGCGCCACGTTGTATTTTGGTGCGTCGGGCTAATGGAGCTGAACTGCGAAGCAGCTAAAACTGTCTAATTTTCATGCTTCTGTTTGCAGTTATGTGTTTAACAACAAAGCCGAATAATAAACAGAGTTATATTTTATTAGATAAAGACAACATCATCGTTTGAAATGTCAAATATCTCCTCTTAATAAGACAGAAAACCTCCAGTTGTATACTTTCCCAAGCTAGATCCGGCCGAGTGGAGCCTGCTGTAAGCACGCGCTAGGCTAGCTGTCTAATTAGGTCAGAGCACATCAGGATCAGATGCTAAAAACATGGAGGCCGATCTTCCGCTTGTTTTTCTGTTTTATTTCCAGCGGTCAGGATCATTTCTGATGAGTTTATTGGATGTGATGTTTCCCCCCCCGGAATGAACCAATGAATGTGTTTCTGAGAGTGGGTAGAAAAACAGCCGCTGCCTCGGTGTTTGGCCTCTGATGATGCAAAGCAAACCTCTTGATCCACGCATCGAGGAAGGCAGCAGTGAAGCATTCTGGGCTAAATGTTGTTTTCATCAGAGCTCCAGAGCAGGCCGCCAGCTGACAGCTAGCAGCTCCTCAGACATAAACAGAGGCTCCTGCACAGGCAGGCCGGTGCTCTGTCAGAGCAGCATACCCCATCAGACCAGCATACCCCATCAGACCATTATACCCCATCAGACCAGCATACCCCATCAGACCATTATACCCCATCAGACCATTATACCCCATCAGACCATTATACCCCATCAGACCAGCATACCCCATCAGACCAGCATACCCCATCAGACCATTATACCCCATCAGACCAGCATACCCCATCAGACCAGCATACCCCATCAGACCATTATACCCCATCAGACCAGCATACCCCATCAGACCAGCATACCCCATCAGACCATTATACCCCATCAGACCAGCATACCCCATCAGACCAACATACCCCATCAGACCATTATACCCCATCAGACCATTATACCCCATCAGACCAGCATACCCCATCAGACCATTATACCCCATCAGACCATTATACCCCATCAGACCATTATACCCCATCAGACCAACATACCCCATCAGACCAACATACCCCATCAGACCAGCATACCCCATCAGACCAGCATACCCCATCAGACCATTATACCCCATCAGACCAGCATACCTCATCAGACCAGCATACCCCATCAGACCATTATACCCCATCAGACCATTATACCCCATCAGACCATTATACCCCATCAGACCAGCATACCCCATCAGACCAGCATACCCCATCAGACCAGCATACCCCATCAGACCAGCATACCCCATCAGACCATTATACCCCATCAGACCAGCATACCTCATCAGACCAACATACCCCATCAGACCATTATACCCCATCAGACCAGCATACCTCATCAGACCAGCATACCCCATCAGACCATTATACCCCATCAGACCATTATACCCCATCAGACCAGCATACCTCATCAGACCATTATACCCCATCAGACCATTATACCCCATCAGACCAGCATACCCCATCAGACCATTATACCCCATCAGACCATTATACCCCATCAGACCAGCATACCCCATCAGACCAGCATACCCCATCAGACCATTATACCCCATCAGACCAGCATACCTCATCAGACCAGCATACCCCATCAGACCATTATACCCCATCAGACCATTATACCCCATCAGACCAGCATACCTCATCAGACCATTATACCCCATCAGACCATTATACCCCATCAGACCATTATACCCCATCAGACCATTATACCCCATCAGACCAGCATACCCCATCAGACCATTATACCCCATCAGACCAACATACCCCATCAGACCAACATACCCCATCAGACCAACATACCCCATCAGACCAACATACCCCATCAGACCAGCATACCCCATCAGACCAACATACCCCATCAGACCAGCATACCCCATCAGACCAGCATACCCCATCAGACCAACATACCCCATCAGACCATTATACCCCATCAGACCAGCATACCCCATCAGACCAACATACCCCATCAGACCAGCATACCCCATCAGACCAACATACCCCATCAGACCAACATACCCCATCAGACCAGCATACCCCATCAGACCAACATACCCCATCAGACCAGCATACCCCATCAGACCAGCATACCCCATCAGACCAACATACCCCATCAGACCAGCATACCCCATCAGACCAACATACCCCATCAGACCAGCATACCCCATCAGACCAACATACCCCATCAGACCAACATACCCCATCAGACCAGCATACCCCATCAGACCAACATACCCCATCAGACCATTATACCCCATCAGACCAGCATACCCCATCAGACCAACATACCCCATCAGACCAGCATACCCCATCAGACCAGCATACCCCATCAGACCAGCAATTCCCCCCCCCCCCCCCCCCCCAAATACTAGGCAGTTGCTTAGTATGAAGTTCCTGGGGGCCCCATAAAACTCTGCTTCCATGTATGGTTTATACAACTATTCCTTATCTGTGCACATTAATTATGTTTTTGATAAAAAACTTTTTCTAAAATGCCATCAGAACGCTGATAATATTCAGTGTGTCTCATCCTCCCCCCTTCAGTGTCCACCATATTGGATCAGTCCATTTGCTGCACATGTTCAGAAAGGTCCAAACAGACAGCAGCAAACCATTTGAAAACAAACCATGCAAAGAGCAGTGTTGCCAACTTAGCGCTTTAGTCGCTATATTTAGCCACTTTTCAGACCCCTCTAGCACTTTGATTTCTAAAAAGCTCCTAGCGCCAAATCTATGTATGTCTATTCTATTAACATTTCTCTATCTGTAGAATGGGTCTGTTTTAGGGGTGTGCAAAATAATCGTGATGATGATGCATCGTGATTCTAATTTTCGTGATCTACTGCATCGATTCTTGATGCCAAGAATCGATTATTAATTTAAAAAAAGAATAAATAAAATTGCATGAATGGTTGGCGAACATCAGCCAAAAACAAGTGTAATACAACTTCCAGTCCAGTAGATGTCGCTGCAAATGTGTTGATGCACGCTGCCTTGTGTCACAAGCATTTCCGGCTGTGGGATACTGTGCCGAGTCATTCAAAAACAAAACATGGAGGAGAAAATATTGCAATGCATCGCAATAATTCAAGTATCGTGATGCATCGTGATAGAATCGCATCGTGACTTCTTTGGCAATACCCACCCCTAGTCTGTTTTATGTGTTGTCTTCTCCATTCAGAGGGCCCCCTGCCTGTCTTAGCCTAGGGCCCCACATTTGCTCAATCCGCCCCTGCCCTTTAGTTTATCCCTTTCGTTTTGTATGATAAATAAACTTTAAACTACCTCAACGGGCATTTATCCCTTTAGTCGTGTAGAAAAAAAAAACAATTTAATTACTTACTGTTTGATGTTTTTTAAGTGTGGCGATCTGACCTTTAAAGAGTCGTTTTTGTACATGACTAAAGGGATACACGCCCGTTGAGGTAGTTTAAAGTCCATTTTTCTTACAAAACTAAAGGGATAAACACAAACATGGTGTCTGGTGCTGCGTATTGACTATAGGTATGCTGGTCTGACTGAATAACGGCCTCTGAAATGATTTGCAGCAGAAAGTAACCAGGACAGTCCCAGCTGCATCAGGTCCATGTCTGACTGTAAACGTCTCGGATCAGGAGGGAAATGTGGCTTCATGCATCTTTGGCTTCTTGGTTTTATTTTAGGCTCCCAGAGTGTTGCCGTTTTTAGGGGGGGAGCTGAGAAGCATCAGATCTGAGCTCTGATCCCTCTCATTAAAGTGACGTGTTGGATCTTTATAAAAAACTGACCTGATTGAAAGAATCAGCAGCATTAACCCTTTATAGGCCGCTCTGTCAAATACTTTCCAGCCAGCAGATTTACTGGAATCCAGGACAGACCTGATTACCTCTGAAACATTCAAAGAATATGGATACTTTGGTCAAAATAAATGTCAATGTAATAAAAGAAACACCAACTTGCCTGAATATATTAAGGAAAATATAAAAAATGCTTCAATAAGAAATTCATGAAAAACACTCTGAGAGTGAAAGAAACACGTTTTTATTGGTCCACCATAACCTTAGAGGCATTAATGCTGATACTGGAACTGACAGGTTTTACTTTATAAACCTAAATCTAATTGTTAACTAGGCTTATTAACTTTTTAACTTTCCAATCAGCTTTTTACCTTTTTTTTTCTTGACTTGTTAACTTTTTTTTTCCCAACTCAAAAAAGAAAGCCAAAATCAGATGTGCAGCCATGTAACAGGATCTTTGCTGAATGGCTGGATATAGATCTTGTTCTTTTAGATGTCACTGAGGGACGGGCCTCCATTTATAAAGGGTTTGCAAGGGATCAAAAACACTAACTTGCCCTATGAAGGGATAAAACCTTAACCAAAAACAAAAGGTGTTTATATCACTAACGTTTCTCTGTGTTTCATGTAGGGCTGAACCATTTTTTCAAAAATCAAAATAGTGATAATTTTTCACCAATATTGTGATTTTTCTTTGCACTAAGCAGAAACAAGTAGATGTTTTATTCCAGGGTTTCAGTTTTCCTTGAAAGTCTGCTAGTCCACAATCCAGCTCTGCAGGAACATGTAACATCTGCATGAAAAAGTTTTCACTTCTACTATAATGCATAGATCTAGGTGCTCAAGCTGCAGCTCTCTGTTCCCTTCTGTATGCCCACTCTAATGGTATTACCGCCACCTAAAGGGCTGGAGGGAGAAATGTAGTGTCTAACTCTTTTTTGGGACTCTTGTATTGAAGAATTGATAATCTCTGCGGTTTAAAAGTAGCATTTTCCTAAACTGTGATTTTATTGCAAATGAAATTAATTGCCCAGCCCTAGTTTCATGCTGCCATGTTCTGCAGCAGCGCATTGATTCTAGAGGATGTTGCACAGCAGCACATTTTTGCAGGTTCAATTGGATCCCAACCCTTACCCTGAAATCCCACATCCCCCACTGCGCCCCGCTCCGCTGCGGTCCAGACCGCCTGCGTAAAGCGAATCTGTGTGAATCTGTGTAATCTAACTGAAAGGTCATTTTATGATTAGTTTTGTTCTGTGACATGTTGTGACATGGAAGAGATTATTGTCATATAATCTCTGACTCGTCTTTCATGGGATTAAAATGAGATCTAAGGCGCCTCCTGTTCATTCTGACAGCAGCTGTCTGAACTGTGGTCTGATCCAAGATGGCCGCCCTCTAGGCACGTCGGCCTCACTGCCACAGCGTCCAATGAGGCGTCTATGTATTGATGTCTATGCGTGCAGCACCCAGCGTCTGCTAGGCTAGAGGGCGAACCCCACATGGCGTTAGGTTTAGTTAGATTTTATTTCTCATGTTCAGACCTGTTTTGGGTTTGACTTCAGTTTGTTACCGTTGTTGACTTGGAGGTTCGTCCACTCGGTGGACCTGGCAGCTCCTCTGGCTGCGGCGTCTGGATGTCCTCATTCTGCTCTCTGAGGGACGTCTAATAATTTCCGCACCAGTTCTAGCTGTTAAAAGCAAAGCGGTGCTCCTGGTTCCAGGTGAGACAGACACCCAGCAGCTAATCCCAGCTCACTTTAGCTTCATGTGCTTCTATACGACATGCGGCCATCTTGAAGCTTTCTTCCAACAAACTTATTACCTTTAATCAAATGTTCTCTGAGTGACGGACTAATGGCCGACTAAAGGTGATCCACCTGAGCTGAGGATCTCTGCAGCTTCTCATGGTCTTCTCCTTCTTTCCCATCGCCCGGCTTGCCACAGGTTTGCCTGCTGTGTCTAAAAGTAGCAGCAGCAGCAACCCAGACTGACAGCTCATTGGCTCATTTGGATCACGTGCAGCCTGGAGCCGGACGCTCCCCAGGGCTTTACCGTATTAACAGGAGAAGAGGAGCAAGTGAATTTAGACACTGTCGTCGGACAACATGCGGTAATTTATAAATGTTTTAAATCGGGTTGGGTCTGGATTAGCCAGCAGGTGGGTCTGGATTCAGACCGTGGTCCGCTAATCCCTGACCTCTGACCTAAAGGATCAGTCAGCTGTCGCCATGAGCAAAATTGGCCACATTCACTGAAGCTGAACTTCAAATTTATGCTATAAAAAAAAAAAAACTTTTAAGATTTCTAACTTTTTAATAGTTAAATTTTAAAAGCGCATAGGGTTGCCAGACAGTGAGACACTTTCATTGAATTTCCGCTTCCCTGTGAAATATCTGAAACCTTTTCTGGTTTCTCTCTGCAATAGATGTTATCAAGAAGTTTTAATCTCCTTTCCTGTTCAGATCCTACATCGTTCTCCCTGCTGCTCTGCTCCTCCTCCCTCTGACTCTGTTCTATCATGGCAATAAACCTTAAAATGTGGAAAGTAACATTTTGAGGCAGAATTAGGATGAGAAGTGGTAACAAGTGCTGTGATAAATCACTGAGATATTAGCAACAGATATGTTTTTATCTCCTCTCTAATTTTCCTCTCTATGGGACCAAAAGATTTTTAGAGATTCACTGCTTGGATGTTGGGAGCCAATCACTGATTAAAGGTCACCAAATCAGTATCTATCGCTGATCACAGCATCCGATCCATCATTTCTTTGATACTGTTGTCTAATGTACTACTGTAATATTTAGGAAAAAATCGATTTGCTGATGTATCGTGTTTTTCAGTTGTCTAATATAATATTGATCTTTCAGTTCCCAATTATGCTTAAAATATTTTTCATGTAAAACAATGAGTAAAACTGGACTACCCTCCACCCCCTCGCTGGCAGATGGCGCCGTGGAGCCTTCTTGCTATGAGCCATATATCTTTAAGGAACCTTTGACTATCTCTGATTAATCGATTTGCATTATTTGCTGTCTTAATGCCAATACTCACTCCTAATTGACCAAAGTATAAAGATAATTAGTACAGAAAGTTAGAATTTTTTAGGTGGATTTGAAAAAAGCTTTATTCATTAAGCCCTAGAAGGACTGTTTTGTGGTCCTACCTCCAGCAGAGACAGCAACCAGCAGTCGCCTTCTCTCCCTGCTCCTTCTGTTCGCCCGCAGGCTCCTCTGATGCTCCGCTGCCGTTCTTCCAGCAGTTAGCCGTGGCTAGCTGTAGCCTCTCCCTGCTCATTCTGCCTACTGGTCTTCTCTAAAGCACAGCTGTCGCAATCCCGCCCAGCAGTAGCCTCTCCTCCACCCTCAGCGTTCCGTTTTCCCCGCGGTCTCCTCCGATCTACCGCCCTGGCAGCCTCTTATGCTACGTTCACTACGTGCTGCTTCATTTTTGATGCTTGTACCAGTTTAGTTCTGACGCACAGCTGAAGCATCTTTGCTGCTCTAGCTGCGTGGTTGAAAGGTGGGTCTGATGCGCGGTGGGCGGAGCTACCCTATCCTTTCTCTGCCTGGAACGATGGCGGCTATATTAGCTGTGATCAGCGGGTAGAAAGTAGTTAGAATCTATGTTGAAGTGAGAAAGTCCTCCTGAAAACATGGTCTGTGCAGTCAGTTCATCCAGATTACCATCCTGCCTTCAAAGATTATTTCTCTGTGGGAGCCGCTCAGACCCCCACATACCGGCGCTGCGCTGTCACTGGGAATCCCCAGCAGCAGCTGCCTCAGGCCCGCTCGCCTCTCCAGGGTTTTCCCCTCCTGTTGGTGGCGGCTGGAAGTAGATGTTAGCGTTTTTCAGGTCTGTGCTACAAACTGCAGGCAGCAGGATAATAAAAGCCAACATATTCTGCCGGCAGGTTTCTACATTTGAAGTTAATCTAGGCGTTAATAAACTGTTTCAGAGGAGTGATCATAGCGCTCTGCATCAGCAGTGCTGCGTCTGACTCCCTGCCAGCTCCCAGATCAGCTTCTCTCATTGGTCGATGCGGCGCGTCCAGCAGCTAAAGTTCAACTTTTCCACCTCAGAAGCTCATGAGGCCCCAGCTTTCTCAGACGCGCTGCGGGGCCTTTTGCTGCACCTTGATGCGTGTCAACCATAGACTTTGTACGTAAACCAGCTGCTCCTGCTGCCTCTGCTTCCTGCGGTCTGAACGTAGCATTAGCAGCCATGATGCTCTCTCTCCTGCTGCTTCTGTCTGAGCTCAGAATGCCATCTCACCTTCCCTCTGTTGTCCGCCTGATTCGCCCCCCTGTTTTGGGCACCCTGACCAAAACAAACGTGGATAAAGCACCAGAGAAAGATGTTAGTCCGCTCAGAAATAAATCATTAGCAGGTCTCCATTCTGAATCTTCATTTTCTGGTTTTTATTTTAATGCTTTTTGTTAAATTTGTGAAGATTTTGCTTCCAAAAATAAAGAAACGAGGAACATTTGGGACGTCTGGCTGATTCTGATCTTTGCAGGTGAAGGACCAACAGAGCAGCCTGTGTGGAGCGGGTGGTCTGTTCCTCAGAGCGCCATCCATGGGCCTCGCCTCCCGGGCCACCGCCTTCATCCCACCCATGTCCATCAGAGCCGTCGGCTGAAAGGATTACGCAGGTGAGTAAAGTCCAGATCAGCCTCCTGGCATCAGCGACGTTCATCACGTAGAGACCGGAGGTGGAACCAGTAATCCCAGCAGTTCCCTCAGAACCAGCCACAGATTATTTGATCAGCCTAGAAGATGCTTCCACTACTGAATTAAATCAGTTAGAATTAATTAATCATAGAGAGAAAATGTTTATGATCAGAGGTTTCTATTGGCTGCAGGCGAGGGGAACTTTGTTTTTAATGGATGCAGCAGGTCAGAGATGATGATGATGATGATGGAATAAAGGGTTGCTTGGCAATTTGTTTTTTAATTAAAATAATTTTCATTATTCCTCCATTAAAAATGTAAGGAAAACATCTAATTAATGAAATTAGGTTGGAATAATTTTCAAAATAATCCAACCTTTCTGTTTTTTAGGGTCATTTAAAGAAAAACTCTGCTCAGCAAGGAATAATGAATGGATCATTATTTATCCCTAAAACTGATACGTTTGCAGGGATTAAATGGATAAAGCGTTAATCAGTAATGAAATAAACTAAATAAAAAATGAACAAAGGCCTAAATTGGAATAAAAATGAGTCTGCCTCATCAGGCTAATGTAGTAAAACATTTTCACAAAGAATTTGAGTCAGTGGGTCACATGACCTGGAAGCTATAGGGCCTGGGATCCGCGTTGCATTGTGGGACGTGGCGGCCATATTGACGGCTACGCTAACGTAAACATAGCTCTGATACAACGTTGTTGTTGAAAGAAGAGACGTAGAAGTAGAGAGAAAAAAAATTTTAAAATCCCGAAAAGGATCTGGAATTTACCGGGACACATTAAATAGAGAAGCCAGGGACCGGTATGTTGACAAAATCAGCGTTATTAATAATTTGGATCCATATGAAGTTCCACACAACGAGTGGAGCACCGATGAGTGAGCGCCTATACTTCAAAACAGTTCCTGCTTGGTCACAGATTACAGATTATAGATGTCACCTGCTCTGCCTGCTTTCATACTTTTTGGTATTTTGTCGTGACGTCTACTACTTGAGTTTCTGTCAGGAAATGTTATGTAAAATTAATAAAATGGTAAAAAAATTTGTTTAAAGAAAAAAATTATTTAGTGACGGGGCCCCTAAGAGGCCATGGGCCCCTAAGAAGTCTCTGCTTACGGATAGTTACGCCACTGGAGGGGAAACAGTTTATTTCAAGCAGCCCCTCCCATATCTTTGGGAAATAAAAAGCAACTGTTTCCAAATTCTCAAATATTTTTATATGTGATGTCATATACTGGAAATGTCTTTAATCCAGTAATCTGTCATATTTTACATTAGAACAGGATTTACCGGAAAGTTGATACTCATTTTCGCAGGACGTCTTAATTTGTGTGTCCTGCTATCAGCCAGTTTCCATCCTCTTATATCAGCAATGAAAAATTAAAAATACACAGTATAACGGGAAATATTTCCCTGGATTTCACTCTGGTAATGATTGATTAATTATATATTTATTAATTTATATCACTTGTTTAAGTTGTTTGACTGTGGAAAAAAAAGAAAGATTGACCAGGGGGCCTCCTATTTGGGGCCCCCTGGTCACCAGGCCGCTTAGTTTGCATAAAGAGCCACTCATTCTGCAGGCTGTGGAAACAGTGACACCCGGTGGACATTTACTGGCATGACACCCCCTGCTGAGTGAAACATTCCTACTAACAATAATTGAATTATCTCACGGTGGAGAAATGTAGCTCTGCATTTAACCCATCCCCCTGGGGAGCAGTGGGCTGCCATTGTGCGGCGCCTCTGCTCCCAAAGGGGATGTTTGGATGTCTGTGAACTGGACCTAAAGACGAACTGGACCGTTGGACATCTGTGATTCTCCTAATGTCTGTCTGAGGCGTCGCCTCAGAACACCTGCAGGTCCATCTGGGTGTTCTGGACCAGCAGAACTCTTGATGATGAGGATGATGACTTTAAGTCGCCCTTTTCTGGGGCATTTATCAAAAACTCCGGCCGGCCGGAACACGAGTCAATGAAAAACTGGACCCGATGGATGAGAAAGGATGGGGGTTCAGTAACCGGGCTTTTGTCCTCTCTGTCTGGCGCGTTCCGCCATGAACTCACCTTCCAGCCGTCTCATCCGGACTCTTCTCTTCTGTTCTTTGGCTTCCAGCCGCCTGCAGAGATCAGCAGCTCGGATCCAGGGAAGGAGAAGGAAGCTGCAGAGGAAGACCGGAAGCTTCCTCCCTCGGTCCTGTCCAGAACCATCGGACTCATTCAGGTATCTGCACCCGCCCCTGAAGCTCCGCCTCCTTGGCGCTGCTCCTGTTGAGCCCGTCGCTGTCAGGAAGCGCAGAGCGAGAAGCGGTTCTGTTCGGTTCTCTTTAACTGGGCCAGAGTTTTGGGTTCAGTTCTGTCCTGCTGAAAATGTTTGCTTAGCTCTTACTTTGACTAGACCGTTCTAAGAGGCGACTGCTGTGATCTGAGCCACCTGTCGGATCTCCTGGAGGTCAAGGGTGGTTCTGTTACAGCCGGTCTCAGGTCATTCTGGATGGTTCTGGATTCCATCTGCTCTGAGCAGCCTCCCCGTCCCTCAGCATGATACTGCCTTTACCTGACCGTAGACAGATTGTTCCTCCTGGATCTGTGAGGAACAGTAACGGTTCTGGCTCCGCCTCCATCGGGGCCGGGTTCAGGGTTTTACCTCCTCCCCTGTCTTTCTGTGCTGCAGCGGTTTTCCATGTCGAAGTCGGCCCAGATGCCGCTGACCAACATCACGGTGCCAAAGCCCTCCATCTCCAGGGTGCCCAGCAGCATGGAGGGCATCAACCACGAGCTGGAGAAGGTCTTCATCAAAGACAACGGAGACAAGGAGGAGCTGAAGGTGCTTCCTGTGTCTGCTCGCCGCCTTCCCGCCTCTCAGACCCGCCTCTCATTCTCTTCCCGTCCCTCTGCAGTCTCTGGAGGTTCCCGATGGCCGCCGGGCGCCCTTCCCTCCCCAGCAGCGCAGCAGCAGCTCTCGCGGCGTGGACACCCAGACTCCGTCGGCCCCGGGGCGCTCCAGCAGCTGCTCCAGCCTGTCGCCGTGTCCCTCGCCAGCCTGCCCCCCAGGATCGCATGACGGCAGCCCGTACTCCACCGAGGATCTGCAGTATGACCGCGATAAAGGTCAGCGAGGGCAGCGTTAGCAAAAACATCCAACAAATACCTGAAAATGTCTTCAATTAAATATTTACCTTTAATTTGAGCGGGTAAATAAAATGCTCTTCCAATGAAATGTGCTTCTAAAATAAGATAATTAGATAATATGCACCTAAAATAATAGTTTTTCTCTTATTTTGAATGTAAACTGCAGGGATTAAAGTATCCCGCACCAGGCTGGTTTTCCCGCTATTAGCAAATGCCTGTAGGTAAAAAAAAATCGCTCAAAAATAAGTTGACTGTAAATAAATGAAAAAAAGATCTAAATCCCTGTTGCGTTTGTCAGCCAATGGTAGTAAAGGTGCGCTGTGAAACTAACAGCATTATCCAATCAGAAGAAGAAGGGGGCGGGTCTTAGGAAAGTGTGTACCCCCCCCTCTCGTTTCATGCTCAGGTTATCAGATAGATTGTGGTTCAGTGCTGAAGTTTACACTGAAAGTCACCATGCGCCGTTTATGGCTGCATTCAAAGGAGAGACGCGTTAAAAGAAGAAAAAAAATTATTAAATGAAAATTTGTTGCTGTTGTTCGTGCCGCAGCAACAGCTGATGTACCGTCGTCAATAACTGACCGCCTTTGACCGAGTTAGAAATAAGAGCAGAACACGACCTCTCATTCACACTAGATATAGATGCTGTTCTGCCATCTGCTGGACGTTTTCTATCTATCTATCTAGATAGATAGATAGATAGATAGATAAACTGTATTGTTCAGTTGGCAAAGTGTTTCAATTACCTCCTCAATTCAAGACAAATATCCAATAGTTTTAAGAAATAAATGTCTTCTTTAGATAAAATTTTTTTACTGTGTAGCAGGATCTCTGCTTTAGAGGAACGTTTAGGCCTGAAAAACTAGACTGGATGCAGAGCAGCGAGCCGTTCTCCTTCTAGGCTGCGCTGAGAATCAGATGATTGAACAAGATGCAACCAGATGAGAAATTATAGAACTTAGTACATTTGTTAGTTTATTTCCTCTTGATTTGAGCAAATTATATAATTAGAAAAAGATGATTTATATTTAAAATGAAAATCAGAACTCTTATTTCAGCAGATCTTACTCAGCTGCTCAAATAAAGGCAGCATTTCATGTTAGAAAGGTTGGGTTACTCTGGAACCCAACATTTATAAAGTGATGGATTAGGAAAGATTAAGAAACCCAGACCAGTGTTCTATCAGACCAGCATACCCATAGTCGATACCCGTTTATCCCTTTAGTTTATCTCTTTAGTGTTGTATGAAAAATAGACTTTAAACTACCTCAACAGGCGTATATCCCTTTAATTGTACAAAGAAAAAACTATTTGATTACTTCATTTTTAGTGGTTTTTGAAGCGTGAGGTTATCTGACCTTAATTTTATTTTTTTGTACATGACTAAAGTGATACACCCCGTTGAGGGAGTTTAAACTCTGTTTTTCGTACAAAACTAAAAAAGGGAAAAACGCAAATCTGACATCTTGCGTATGCGTATTGACTATGGGTATGCTGGTCTGACGGGGTATGCTGGTCTGACGGGGTATGCTGGTCTGATGGGGTATGCTGGTCTGATGGGGTATGCTGGTCTGACTGAACACCGGATTACTGCCTGACCCGTAGAACCAAGACACCATCTCAGCAGAACCTGCCGGCTCTGAAACCATCTGACAGAGGAAGGATGGAGCGTCCATCATTCCATCAAACATCCTCCCATCGTAAAAACATCCCCATGAAGATGTTTGGTTAGAAAGCTGAACTAAAGTCACTAAATTAAAAGATTTTCAGGGATTAAATTATGGCTGAAACAATTATTTAAAGGCACACTGTGTAACTTTTGGCCACTAGGGGGAGCCAGACCTGTAACTGCTTTTATTTGACTTCTAACAAAGATCTAGTTTGACTGTAAAGTAGGAGCAAAGTGTTAACTTACCAGTCTAATAATAAAGTTAAGAAAAGAGCATCGATTTTACATCCGGCTGCTTCTTTCTGCCAACAAACAAACTCCTTTCCAAGATCCACTCTTATTTTTCCCCGATGCCTTTGATGTTTTCTCTTTTTAGCCTCAGAAGGCTTAAACTTTTCCCTTGCCTCAGCTGTGACCAGTATTCAAGCAGGCGGAAAAATAGTACAGCTAAAGTCTAAAGCCGGTCATACACTGCGTTTTTTTTTCAATTGTTGCACGCAGCTACAGCTCAGCCTGCACCATGAAGCCGTAGGGTTTAAAAGTTCACTTCTCACCATGTTTGTTCTCACACCGTGACTCTGATGTGATCTACCTGCTCACACTCTCAGGACGGCTGACTGAATTTAAAGCATGTTTGATTTTTTCCTGAAGGGGAGGCGGTCGTTAGAGGCTGATCTCCCCTCGTTAGCCCCTGTACACCACGCACCATCAGGCTGAAAGACGGCTCAAGCGAAAAATTCTCGCACGACTGGAGAATCGTCCCAAAAAGGGCAAAAACTCGTGCAGTGAACGCCCGGCTTCAGCTTTATTATTAAATAAGAGCCTGTGGCTGTAAACGATCTTCCAGGTCACATGAACAAAGGTAAATATTCTCCTTCTACATCCCTGCTGCCCTCTGGGAAGAGGCTGCACAGCATTCAGTGCAGGACCAGCAGGTTCTGCAGCAGCTTCTTCCCCCCCACCATTAGACTGCTGAATGTTGGATAAAATGGGTTATTTTATTCATTAAAAAAAAATAAAATACAAATTATTTGTCATATCATATGTTTTAATATATTACTGTTTTCAAGGCTGCACTTCAAAAAAATGACATTGTCTAGAGCTGTCTTAAACGAAATTTCTTTTTGTATACACTCCTGTATAGAAAATGACAAAATAAATCTAAGTAAAATTACGAGAATAAAGTCATAAAAATTACGAGAATTAAGTCATAAAATTACAAGAATAAAGTCGTAAAATTACGAGAATAAAGTCATAAAATTACAAGAATAAAGTCGTAAAATTACGAGAATAAAGTCATAAAATTACAAGAAACAAGTTGTATTTTATGACAACTCTTCCCAGAATCCCTTTCTTCCCTAAAGTGAGGAATGTGGAGCATCATGTGAAGTTCTACTTTAGCATCAGTTTGACAAATCAGGAAATCTTTTAGCAGCAGCATCAAACTGGGCAGGATGTCAAAGTGGACTCTGGTTGCTTATTGGTGGAGCTGGTCGGCCGTCATCTGCTGGGCGGAGCTACAAGCTTTGCTCCTGAAACGGGTTGATGATAATATTACAACTTTATTCTCGTAATGTTACGACTTTTTTCTCAAAATAAAAAAAATCTCTAACCTGGCCCTGTTAATCAGTCGTAATAATCTAGAACTCCTACAGTGGAAAAGTTTTAGGTTAACTTGGGTTGATTTAGTGAAAATTCTTCTTTATGAACCTTTTCGACAGATTAATTGATTTGACAAATAATGGTTAGTTGCTGCCATAGAGTAAATTTAATAGACTTTGATTGGAATCGATGAGTAAAATAATGTTAAAGTTTTAGGACCTAAATATTTGTTCCAGATGATTCTACTAACCCGCTCAGATTAATCCTCTCAGTGTGTGTAGTTCGGTGTGGGTCAAAGGTCACGGTTTGTCTGACGCTGTCCTCCGTCTTCAGACAGTGGAAGCAGCTCTCCGCTCCCAAAGTTCGCCTCGTCCCCCAAACCCAACAACAGCTACATGTTCAAGCGGGAGCCTCCGGAAGGCTGTGAGAAGATCAAAGCTTTCGAGGAGATGAGGTCAGAGGCGTCGCTGACGGCTCGGTACGCCGCCTCGCCGACGCTCCCCGTCTCACCTGTCCTTTCTTTCTCCCGCAGCTCCAGGCAGTCGGCGTCGGCGCCTCTCTTCTCCTGCCCCGACAAGAACAAGGTCAACTTCATCCCCACAGGCTCCGCCTTCTGCCCGGTCAAACTCCCCGCCTCGCTGCACCTCAGCCCCGCCTCCGAGCCCGAGGAAGACGAGGGCCAGGGGGAGCCCCGGGGGGCTTCCTCGCTCTATGGCGCCCCCCCCGCTCAGGTTTCCACCAGCACAGACGACCCCCCCGAGGAGCCCAGCTCCCCTTCAGAGACTGCAGAACCCCAGACGGACAGCTAGACCCCCCCCACCCCCCACTTACTGTCCCACCAACACCTCCTGCTTTACCAGGGGAGCCTCTGTCTCTCTGTGCTCCCCCCCACCCTCATTCTATCACTGCATGACGTAGCAACAGTGTCCCTTCATGTCCACCATCAGTCGGCCACCTGAGCGCCGGGGGGGGGGGGGCAGTTTGAGTCAGAAACACCCAGAAGGCCAATCGGCTGCCCCCATCCGCCATGACGACCATGTTTACGCCATCGGCTCAGAGATCCAACTACGATCGCTCAGAGTCCGCTTGTGGGCGGGGCTTCAGGCGTTTCTCCATTACGGTTCTAAACTCAGGTAATCTGGAAAGGTGTGTCCATCAAAGAACCTGCAGCTCAAAGCAGGAGGGATCCGCCGTCATGTGTTCCTCTTCATTCCCGGACATTTGGTTCGACCAATAAGGAGCATCCCCTCCAAACGGGCGCTATCTGGTACCGCTGCCAGCGGGTCGGATTACGACAAAAATACTGTTTTTAATCTGCAGTTCCAGCCCAGACCTTTGGTAGAAGTGGAAATTATCGGTCCAATAGTAGTTACTGTACCTCTCGTGCACAGAGCAGGTTCTGATTAAAGCAACACTACGTAACCTTTGACCCCAGCGTTAGCTTAATCTGCAACGAATTCAATGACATTATAGTCAGTATTCAGCACTTGTTGCGTATCGAGGCTCTTGTCTGATGCTACATTCACACCAGACACTTTGGGCAGCAGGCTTACATCCAAAGTCTAGAATTGATGCATCAAAAGGTCCTGCAGTGCTTCTACAGCAGCAGCAGCTGCTGGAGTTGGAAAAATGTACCTTTAGCTGCTGGACGCGCCACATCGACCAATGAGAGAAGCTGATCTGGGAGCTGGCAGGGAGTCAGACGCAGCACTGCTGATGCAGAGCGCTATGATCACTCCTCTGAAACAGTTTATTAACGCCTAAATTAACTTCAAATGTAGAAACCTGCCGGCAGAATATGTTGGCTTTTATTATCCTGCTGCCTGCAGTTTGTAGCACAGACCTGAAAAACGCTAACATCTACTTCCAGCCGCCACCAACAGGAGGGGAAAACCCTGGAGAGGCGAGCGGGCCTGAGGCAGCTGCTGCTGGGGATTCCCAGTGACCCACTGATCACAGCTAATATAGAGAACACGTAATTCCTCGTTCAGCAAAGTGAAACCACAGGGAAAACACAGAAAACGCAAAAATCCTTTATTTAGTGTTTTTCTGCGTAATTAAACAGGACCTAGATATAATTGTGAGGTAGGGTCGGTTTTGTCTGGCTCCAGCGCAGACGAACGACAGCTGCTGCCACCTTTCCTCGCTCTCCCCGGCCGCCAGCTACCACTTACTGCTGTGCTCGTCCATTCTGTCGCTGTTAGCTTCAGAGCTTCATCCCGCTCCGGGCTTCTCAGAACGTCGCCTCACTTCGCGTAAAATAACCTTGATTTAGCCGCAACTGGAGACCCTCCACTGCGAGCCTCTCTGTAGGATCTGTTGGATCCAGGGATGGCTAAAGAACCAAAACCAGGTCTGCCGTGTTGAGGTGAAACCAACAAGCAGATTTGATGACATGGCGTAGGCTTCGGCCCACAGTGGGAAATGCCGTCACGGATTCCTGACGAAATGTAAGGAGAGTAAAGCGCACCGTTAGCTCGGACCCTTCACTTGATCAGAGGTGTTTCTGGTTCTCCGATGGAGGATTCAGTCCAGCCGGTTAACGTCTGAACCAGGAACCCCTGACTTCTCAATCTGCTGGTCCAAACTGGACCGCCGAGGAAGAATGGGTCAGTAACGAGAACGTTAGAGGTTTGCTGCCCCCTATTGGCTAAAAGTTTCACGCTGTTGCTTTAAATCAGACAAAAGGAGAACGCTTCAGACTGCAGCAGTGCTTAGGACAGGATTTTTCTGCTTTCCAGTAGTGTTGCACCGATACCAGTATTGGGCGGGGCCCCGATCCAGCACTAAAATGGTGGTATTGGTATCAGCGAGTACCAACCAATAGGGCACCGATACCATCTTGAGAACCAAAAGTTTCTTCAACTATTGTCACCCATTCCAGGTAGGCAATAAAAGTTCTACTGGATTCACTTTGTTTTAGTCTTTTTCCTGCTTCACTAAGGAAGGAAGCAGCTTGACATGAAGCCATGATGGTGATTATTTTACATCCAAGTAGTCTGCAGTTCTTCATATATACACACACATCAATGTCAGACAGATGGTATCGGCCGATACTGCACAGGCAGGTATCTGGGCCAAAAAATGGCATCGGTGCAACACTACTTTCCAGGGTTCCAGATTGGATCACTCTTGTGTCCCGCATGCGACACAATGTTCGCTAAATTCCGATGATCCGGTTCAAAGCACCTTCATAAAGCCTGTCCTGCTCTGGATCTGAACCGTTTCATGTCCTAATCAGCCATTGGCTCCCAGTCCCAAACCCTCAGACCCAAACCAGTTCAGGACAGAACCGGATGTGCAGCCGATGACGGACCTAGAAATGAGAGGGGATGGTTAGAGATTGCTCGCTCCTCAGCGTGGCTCAGAGTTCCAGTTGTTGGACCCGTTGTGCTCCTTCCTGTCTGCAGCCATCTTGGCCTGTTGAATAAAGGTTTGCAGTGGAGTTTCCTGCAGCCGTGGATCAGGACCGGCCACTCCTGCTCTGATAGAAACTAACCTGATCCACTGACGACATTCCTCCAGGTTTGACCAGACCACTCTCCGCCGGAACGTAGAGACATGAGAGAAGACCGGCTGCCTCCTCCCTCTCACCGTCCATCCGTCACAGCGGCGACCGAACATCCCAACCCTCTCAGCATCTTATTTATTCTGTGCAAGAGTGACGCATAATCTACGTTTATTTTACTATCTGGTGTGCTTGTTGAATCCCTGCATCCACCTTCCATTCCTATTTTGTAAATATGTGGCTTTCGAAGAGGCTCAATGCAATGTTGTGGTTTCTGAGGACATTTCAGCACCTTACCAAGAGCTTAAGCTTTCCCAGTATCCCACATATGCTTGACATGGGGAAAACAGGTGCGTGCAATAATTTGGGGAGAAAAGATGGAGCAGAAAAGTGACGGCTTTGTCATCCAGGATGTTGCCCGTTCTTTGACATGTTGCTTTGCTTTGGTTTTGAGTCGAGAGGCTGGATCAGCGAGCATCTCCAGAACCAGCACCGAGTAGAACCAGAGCAGGTCACGGGGGTGCGGTCCTCCACCCACGACACGTTACTTCCCTGTGTAACCTGCAGTGTCAAAGTTCATGCACAATGGCAATAAAATCTTGGTTGTTTCGCCCAGCTTTGTGGAGTGTTTCCATGGGTGGAGAACGTCGACGGCTAAAGAGACCAGATCACAGGGTTCCTTTCTCCAGGGTCAGAAAACAAACGCTCCCATATTTGAACTGAAATATTTATCAATGTGAACAAGCCTGATAATAAAACAACACTGATAAAGTTGTGGCGTTTATTGTCGTCTTGGATCGACTGAAAAGTTAGCAGCTGACAATAATAGTGGTTTCCAAATTCAGTCCTGCATGTTTTAGATGTCTCTGCCTTAAATGACTGCAGCCGCTGTTCGCACCTGGAGCATCAGATCACCCACTGCGTCATGTGGAGTGCTGAAAAAAATACCTGAAACATGGAGGACAGGAGGGTTAGAAAAAAACACTGGACATTTGAAGTTTGGTTTGAAGATTATTGCTCTAAGGCTTCGTTCCCACAGCATTCTGAAGGGACCTAAGTCCGATTTTTTTTTTTGCCCATATGCGACCCGGATCTTCATGACAGTCTGAACGACACGGATCCATTTTTTTTCAAATGCGACCCAGATCACTTGGCTCTGTGGTCCTGAATCAGATACAAATCCGATCTTTCCAATGCGATCTGCGTCTGAACGGCCAGGTCGCATTCATCCGACCTAAACGCCTTTAGTAGTCGGCATAGGTCAATATTCTGTGTCCCGCTACGCAGAAGCGGCAAGAAAAACAACCATGGCGGACAATGATGCTTGAACAGTTTGAGCTTGTAAGGTTGGTTTAGATCGCTAGATGCGCTCCAGCGCTACCATCCATGTTTACTTTCGTAAACACAGAGCACGCTGGCGAGTGACGTCATCTCGTCCTCTACTGCGCAGGCGGGACACTGAAGCTGCAGGAACAGGAAGCTGTGTGAATGCAGTTCACACAGCAGATCACATACAGGTCGCATATATTTGGAAATGTAAACTGCAACACAAAGAAAATCGTATTTGACAACAAAAATCGGAATTGAGCATCAAGGCCTGCTGTGTGAACGTAGCCTGAAGGCTGACTTATACCAGGAAACCAGGAAACCTAAGAAAGTTGAAGCAGAGTTGGATCCTAAAACATCCTAACAAAGGACGGGCTGAGAACTGGAACTAGTTCTAAACCAGGCTGGCCCTAGGGGGCGCTGTCCTCCAGGTTTTAGTCCAGCTGGTTTCCATGCTGAACTGTCATAATGAGTTTAGTCGCCTAATTTTGGCCCAAGTTTTAGTCCATGTTTTGCTCACAAGTTAAATCATTATTTCTCAATTTAGTTTAATGATTTTAGGACTAATTAAAGCAACAATAAACTAAATTCTTAAAGCTTTCAGGTATTCCTCACAAACCAAAAGAGGTCCACAAAAAGAAAAAGAATCTTTACATTTTATTTTTCTAAAGATCAGCTCCAAAGAAAAGACCAACTGCATTCAGAGAGGATGTGTTATCCAGGATTGATAGAGGAGGAACCAGAGGGATGTTCTCATTTTATTATTACTTATCTTATTCATTTATTCTTACTTTGGTCCATTGAATATGTTTCAAAAATGTAATTTCCATCACATCTACCAAAATCAAACATCCACAGAAGCCTGTCTCGTGTCATGGTGAGTTTTTATAGAATCTACAGCCTCCTAGAAGGTCTGAATTGTTTAGCATTTGTTGTAAAAAGTAAAAAAGCAAAAAACTAATAAGATAACTTAAGATTTAGCCTTTATACTTAGCCTATTAGCAAACATTCATACACAGGATTCGATTTCACTGATTCTTTAGTGTCAGTAGTCCAATAATGACTCATTAGTTCCCCATTGGTTATGTTAACTGAACTGGAAAGAATAAAGAATAAACACAGTTTAGTCACTCTATTACAGATGGAGTAATGTAACTAAAGTAATCCCTCCCTGGGATTATTAAAGTATTTCTGATTCTGATTCCTGGTTGATGGGACAGGTGTTGTGAATGAAACGGTGCCCAGCTTGAAAGAGCTCCTGTGTGTCGCTGAATGTGTGCATGGATGACTGAACGACATCTTCTGCCTCCATTTATCTGTTTACTACAGTCTGTTGAATTCATGTTAATGTGGATTTAAAGACATTTCAATTCATGGAATAAACTGCAGCAAGAAAATAAAGTCTAATCAACCAAAACTTTCACGACCCCAATGTAGTACCTCTATGGCCCCCCTTGGGGGCGCAGACCCCCCCCATGTTGAAGACTAACCTGACTCCGCCAGATGGATTTGCTCCACATATCCATCTGGAAACCTTCCGTTGAAGTAATTTTGGGAAGGGGCGAAAATACTGGTTAGCTGATTGGCCTATGTTG